ATTGCCCATTGGCGGGTATTCAATGGACTTCCACAGATCGCTTCCGGCAGCACCACCAGGGAAGCTCTGGAACGCAATCAATGTGTCGTAATGCAGACGACCCTCCGAGGTAACTAGAGAACTAAGCGGCGTATGAAGGTGCTGCATGGCCTCCGTATTCTGCAGGGTGAGGCGTTTCGCGACATCCTTGACAGTCATGTCAGAGTGCGCCGACACGCGAATGGGAACAGTGACAAATGTTGGACCAAGGCAATCGGCCGTCTCCTGGCTGTACCTATCTGACACGACGCTGCCGAAGACAACATCGGCCTTTGAGCCAGTATAGCCAAACAGGACAATCGACCAGGCTGCCTGTAGAACTGCCAGAGTTGAGATTTGAGATGCCTTCGAAGCGCTCTGTAAATCATTCAAAGTGATCCTGGACAGAACGGTGGACACACGAGGGCCCTTAGTCAGATGCTCGGGCTGCAGCCGGGTAAGAGCAGGGAATGTTGTCGGTGCACAGTCTTCCAGCTGCTCCAGCCAATACTTCTTTGCGCCTTCGCGATCCGCACGGAAGTGGCGCTCGACGGCCACATCAATGTGCGTTCTGTTGGCAGCCTGGCGGCTGAAGAACCGGTCTTCCACGTCCTGAACCAGTAGCTGCAGAGATCCACCATCGAAAATTGCATGGAACAAACTCAGAACTACCGCAGCTCGGTTGGGCGACTGGACAATGGCGAGGCTCAATGGCGGCCAATCCAAAACGATAGAGGATTCGGCCTCCTCTAGCGCCTTGGAAATGAGCTCGGGGAAGTCTTCGTCAGATTCGCCATGGTACGACTGAGCCTCAACCTGGCCCCGAGGGCATGATTCCTTAAAGACACATTGAGCGAAGGGGGCCAGATCATCATCCACCGAGACGAAGGCAGTTCTAAACGCATCTCCGTTGCGCAGAGCTCCCAACCAAGCGTCCCGAACGGCGCTCAAGTCATGATCACGAGCAACCTCGTACACCGAATGATTGATGTAATGCTTGGTGTCCTGACCGGTGGGGTCGATCAAACTGCGCAAGAAACTCGCAAGCATACCAGATTGGGTTGAAGTGGTGGGAAGAATCTTTTCCAACGCTTCGACCGGGACATCGAGTGACTTAGCGCATTCTTCTTTGTGATTATTCTGGAATGCGGCAGAAATCGCACTCCAGGCATCAGCAGAAGAATCAGAAGTGCTGACATTTTGCTTCGGCTCCGACGTTTCCATGTACTTCAAGACCAAATCTTGGAAAGTACGGCAGGTTACAACTTCGCCGACAGTCAACCGCTTCAGTCCCAGCTCGCGTGCTTTCTGCAGAAATCGCATTGCCCTAAGACTGTCAAATCCGTAAGAGAGCAGTTCCGCAGATGGGACAATGTCATCGACCGAGATATCTGTAACATCTGCGACACCTGTGAAAACGAGTTGTTTGATGCCTTCATCCAAAATGATGTCTTCGCTGATAGGCCCATCGGCAGGCACAGGTGCAGCAGCAGTAGACCAGCGCTCTTCAACCAGCTTGCCCAGCGCACGACGGTCGATCTTGCCAGAACGAGAGCGGGGGACCTCTTCCAGGAAGAAGTACTTGGATGGCCGCATATGGGGTTGGAGCCACTTATCGGCTGCAAGTTGACAAGATCTGATGAGAAGCTCTTGGTCAGTGTCGGCATGGGGCAAGATGCATGCAACCACCTGTTCACTGCCGTGGCCGCCGCCGACTGGTTTGTGTGCCACGACTACAGCTTCCTTCACACCATCCACTTTTTCGACAACGGCTTCAATGTCGCCCAGCTCGACACGCCTTCCACTCAGCTTTACCTGGTCGGTAGTGAGACGACCAAGGTACTCGATGGTGAGGCTGCCATCTCTGTCTTCAACCACCCTGGCGCGATCGCCAGTGCGGTACAGTCTGCCGTACTGCTCGCTCTCGAGGAAAGCCTTCGCAGTCTCCTCAGGCCGGTTCAAATATCCTGCAGACACCTGCGGGCCACCGATAACCAGCTCACCAGGGAAGCCCAGGGGCATGACGACAGCATCCTTCTCCGCAGCATCGATGATGAACATGGCACAGGTGGGGAGCGGCTTGCCAATAATCGAGCCTCTATCATTGACGGAGAAATTCGAAACCAGGGTACAGTTAATAGAGCCTTCTGTCGGACCGTAGGCATTGAGCAGGCCTTCAGGTGAGATGGCGTTGCTAGAGCCGTGACGTTCAATACGGGCCGGGGAGTCGGCAGAGAAGTTGTCAATAACCCTGCGGTTGACGGCTTCGCCCATGACCCAGAGGTCTTTCAAAGTTGGCACTTTCTGCGGGTTCAGAATTGCTGCCATGCTGGGGGTTGCCATCATTACGGTGGCACCGAGCTCGGTTATAGTGGCCTCAGGATCAGACAAACTTGTTTGACGCTCGGCAGAACAGAGGGTGTTGCCAGTGGAAAATGTGACAAAAATCTCCATAACAGAGGGATCGAAGGTGGGAGCGGCGAATTGGAACCACCGGGCAGGGATGGAGGTGGAGCGGGCAGAGAGGTAAAGAGAGTGAGACGCGATCGAGCATACTGCAGCGTGGTGAGTGATTTTGACTCCCTTTGGCCGTCCCGTGGAACCACTGGTGTACATAACATAGGCAAGGTCATTCTCGTCAACTGGAGGGAGGAGCGCAGCATCGGCCGGTGGTTTGCCATTGGAGCGCCACTCATCGATGAAAGTAGAAGCGTCAATCCATGTGAAGGCCTCGGGGAGGGCTCCAGATAATGCTTCTTCCCTGGGGCCGCGACCGAGAAGGAGTGATGCTTCAACATCTTGGAAGACGTAAAGGAGTTGGTCCACAGGAGCTTCTGGAGAAACGGGGCAGAAGGCGCAGCCGGACTTAATAGTTGCAAGCCAGCAGACATAGAGTTCAGCCGACGAGGAGATAATAGCTGGGACAACAGATTGTCTGTTGCCCGCAGGAATGTTGGATTTTATGTGAACGGCCAGCGCGTCGGTGAGCCTGTCCAGCTCAGAATATGTAAAGACATCATGAACCGCGGGCGAGGGTCCGGAGGGAAGAGACTTCAGGAAGTCCAAGGCTGGCCGGTCAGGGTAGTCCTTTGCTCTCCGTCGGAAGGCGGAATGGAGCAGAGCTGGTCCCATGCTAAAATGGCCATTGTTTTGGTCTTCATGGAGACGCGGCGGCTGGGAAAGAGAGGGATAGTTGAGTCTTGACAAGAGAGATGGTTGCACATCCTTTGGTGGTCTGGCATAGGATCTCGACGTCAAGTACTCAATGACAAAGTTGAGCAGAGAGTGGCCAATGGTAGAGGGCATCAGATGCCTGTAGTAATGAATGCTAAGCTGGATCCTGGATCCGAGCTCCACCCGCAAAACGAATGGCTGCAGCTACTGTCAGCTTGGCTATGTGTCTTTGTAACGCGGGACGCACCTTGGTGGAGAAGCTCGCTGTTTGTCCGTTTTCAAGGACATCGACAGAGAAGTCGGTCTGGACATGACCGTGGGCATGCTGGAATCCCGGGTATGTGGTGACAGCGCATGATCTGGAGCGCTGAGCAGCTTCGTATTCGACGGCGGCCGTGGCAATACCGAATTTCTCCGGTGCTTGCTCGACGGAACTGGAGACGGCGGGAGGCAGAGAATAGTGGAAGGCTACGTCATCCTCGCCGGTGAAGGCTGCTATGAGTCGTGCACCGGCCTCGAGAACAACATCTGCAGTTAGCTCAGCAGAGCCGCAGGGAAGGGTTGCTTTGTTCCAAGCAAAATCTGCAGGCTTGTTGTCATGGTGCAGCTCCGTCGTGCCTCCCAGGCCGTTGCTGATCCCGGCTTGCCCGGCCGATAAGGGCTGGCGATACAGCGTATCGAGGGCGGGAAAGCTCGTGGAGAACGACATGGGTGCAAATCCAATTGCTGCAGAAGCTACAGACTAGCTTGCGGGAAGCAGCACTCTAAGTGAAGGCCGACGGAGTGGAATCTAATAAGACCTTGGGAGCTTGGTCACACAGAAGGCGGGATATAATCACATCATTGCGTGCAAATAAAAAAAAATCTGGAGAAGCTCGGCACGGTTGCGTGCGCCAAACACGAGCCTCCGTCTTGCCGCAGCTTGGTCGCATCTCCGTGGGCCGATGTCGCGCTATAACGGACGGAATGGAGCTGTGGAAGCCCGGGGGCTTGGTGGCCGCCCCAGTATGGCACCGCGTCCATGGTGGGTGTTGGGTAAAGACCCGCCGTCCATGCACACTGCGGTCATGGTGCTTGCACGCGGGAGTTGCTGGGCCGAGGCGTCTCCGGAAGCAGCGCTAGCCCGGTCAGATGGTCCCTCGAAGCCGGCTGGGCGCGTGTGGAAGCACGGTGAACGAAGGATTGGAGGAGGTGACGTCCCCACGCAAAGCCGAAATTGTCTGGTGCGTGGTGTGGCAGGGCGGGACCGGGGGCAGGCAAGCGCGACCGGGGGCGGCCAGGGCGGGGCAGGCGCGGCGTGACAGGGGACTGGCAGCCCCGGCAGGTGCAGCGCGCCCCCGGCTAGAGAATCAGATAGCGGCAAAGTCCGGGATACGAAACTAAAAGCGGATCTGATAGCGGCAGCTACCGGCAACGCACGCCGGCCGGCTGGGCCTTGCTCTCTAACACTTACTGCTTCTAGCGCAGCCACCTGCTCAGGCCTGCGCCCGATGTTACGACACCCGTCTGGGCGTTTTATCTGATGGAACCTGGAAAAATTCAGCAGCCCCAGAGACAGTGCGCGATCGGCAGCCACCGCGTGTGTGCTGCCCCGTGCGACATGCCCTCTCCGGTTGCGGGCCATGACGATCTCGAGCCCGGCATTTGGAGGCAATTCCCTGCGCGGCAGAAAAAAGGGCGCCGGCATTGCAAGCCCGAGGTCTCGCCCACGCGTCCCAGCGCTCCGTCCGAGATCTTATCAATCGCGGCTGGTACCTTTTTCTCTGGCAATAGCTGCGAGTTTGTCCTGAGAGAATCAGCTTCCAACCATGGCCTCGCCCAGCCCCGCCCTCCAGCGTCTGAACCAGACCCTCCACATTCTCGACCCCGCCTCGCGCCCCCAGGGTCTGCAGCTCTCTCTGGTCCACGGCCCCGTCGACCCTCCTCTGCTTAACTTCACCATTGGCGAGCTTCTCGACTTCCAGGCCGACAAGTATGGCGACAGAGAAGCTCTCGTCGTGTCCTGGACCGGCACCCGCTGGACGTATGCCGAGCTGAAGGAGCAGAGCACCCGCCTGGCCCGCGGCCTGCTCGCCATGGGCATCAAGCCCGGAGACCGGATTGCCATCATGGCTGGCAACTGCGAGGAATACGTCGCCGTTTTCTTTGCCGCAGCAAGGGTTGGCGCCATCTTGGTTGTGCTGAACAACACTTACACGGCCACCGAAGCTACTTACGCCCTGAACCATACCGGTAAGTTGGTTTTGGTGTTGCGCATCCGCTGTCGGCCTGATGGCGTGCTTGCGGATCCCGACGTCGCTGACCCAATCGCAGAGTGCAAGCTTCTGTTTATCCAGTCGAGGATTGGACGTTACGACAATGGCAACCTCGTCGAGCAATTAAGATCAGCGGATTCGCGCCTGAAGACCCTGCCGTCTTTAGCGCATGTTGTCGCTCTGCGCGAGCAGATCCCTGAGTTTACCAGTTACGACAAGATGATCAACCTCGGCGACGTTATTTCGCCCTACTACCTGTACCGCGTCAGCACTGGTCTTAATACCCACGATGTGTGCAACTTGCAATTCACCAGCGGCTCTACCGGAAACCCCAAGGCGGCAATGCTCACTCACCAGTAAGTTTTAAAAAAAATCCGGTGGATTTTGATGCAGAGGGAAAGAAAAACAAAAACTTACGAGATTGGATGAACAGCAACATTGTGAATAACTCGAGGTTCATTGGAGACCGCATGGCATTCACTTCCGAGGATGTGCTTGCGTGCCCGCCGCCGCTCTTCCACTGCTTCGGGCTGGTACTTGGACTTATGGCGTGCGTGACGCACGGTAGCAAGATCGTCCTTCCGGGAGAAGTTTTCGATGCAGAGGCGACACTGCGTGCCATTTCTGACGAACAGTGCACCGCTCTGCATGGTGTTCCTGCCATGTTCGACTCGATTCTTTCACTTCCGCGTCCGGCGGGATTTGACTGCACCAAGCTGAGGACTGGCATCATCGCGGGCGCGCCGGTGCCCCGTCACCTCATGGAAGGCATCTTGGTTGAGCTGGGAATGACCGAATACACGAGTAGCTACGGTAAGTTGCATGAGACGCAAGCACGAAGGAAGGGGGGCGAAATGTGCCTTTATCTATCATTCGTACCCCGGCCTTCTCCCACATCCCCACTCTTATGCCACCCGGTGCACGATTACGTGGCCCCGTAAGCGACCAGTTGGCTGATTGTGTAACCTCACCCCTATCAGGCCTCACTGAAGCCTCGCCTACTTGCTTCAACGCGCACACGTACGACACGGTGGACCGCCGGTTGACCACTGTCGGCACGGTTCTGCCTCACGCCCACTCGAAGATTGTGGACCGTGACGGCCGAATTCTGCCGGTTGGCCAGCGTGGTGAGCTGTGCATGGCCGGCTATCAGCTGCAGCGCGGCTACTGGAACAACCCAGAGAAGACGGACGAGTGCATGATCCGCGACGAGCAGGGTATCCTGTGGCTGCATACCGGCGATGAGGCCGTCTTCGACGAGAACGGCTACTGCACAATCACCGGCAGATTCAAGGATATTATCATCAGGGGTAAGCGTCCCAATCATCTCCCTTGCCATTTGCATCGTCCCCTGCATAAGTGGCTAACAATCTTTTCTCCAGGCGGCGAGAACATTTACCCTCTCGAGATCGAAGAGAGGCTAGTGGCTCACCCGTCGATCGACCGCGCCATCGTGGTGGGCCTGCGGCACACCAAGTACGGCGAGGTGGTCGGCGCCTTCCTGCAGCGCGTGGCCGGCCAGGAGCGGCTGTCGGACGACGAGGTGCGCGAGTGGACGCGCCAGCGGCTGGGCCGCCACAAGGCGCCCGCGCACATCTTCTGGCTGGGCGAGGACGGCGTCGATGCCAACGTGCCCATGACTGGCAGCGGCAAGATCAAGAAGTACGAGCTCAGGAAGCTGGGAGACGAGCTTGTCGCCGCCAAGGGCGGTGAGTTGGTTGTTTGAGCGAAGTCCCCAAAAAGCCTTTTGTGCTTTTCTTTTTGAATTGCTGTCCATAGACTTTTATTTTGATGAAACTGTTTGGCGTTCGGGGGTGGAGGAAAAGCAAATTTGTACCCCGGAAGAAGGGAATCTTTAAATAGCGATTTAGACTTCTGTCAATATCTAGTGCCTTATATTGGACAATCAAGACTGTAAGCAGTGAAATCAGGACTTCTCTGTTGGTTCAGTCTCAGCCCGACATGGCCCGACAGCATTCACATGCTCTCGCCTATGCTTTCGTCTCATGAATCGCGGATCACATATACCATGTAAAAATTCTACCCAGGAATACAGGATTGTTCGAGATCATGAATATATTGCTATTGTTGTCAAGCTACAAGTGCTTTTGTTCATTTTCACATCAATAGTGACCTTTGTACGATAGGAAATAAATAAATAAATAAAATTCACGAAAGTTTATCTACACAGAATGTTAAAAGGAAAAAGGAAGCTACTCAAAGCGCTTCTCTCACAACTTCGCCAACCGATCCAAGCTCGGCGGCACGACGTCCTCGCCGTCCCAGGTCAAGGGGCACAGCTGGAAGAACTTCTCGCGGCTGCAGGCCACGAAGGCGCTGCGCTTGTGGGGCAGGTCGACGAGGCGCATGACGTGGAAGCCGTGGGCGAAGTCGTAGGCCAGCACGGTGCTGTTGACGTACTTGGGCTCGCCGACGAGCTGCATGGTGCGCGGCTCGTCGAGGAACATGTAGTGCATGATGCCGCTCCACCAGGCGCTGACGCGGTGCGGGCCGCGGAAGCGCGTGTCGCCGACCAGCGAGTGGCGGCCGCGGTCGAAGTCGCCGGCGTGGTAGTGGGCGCCCATGTGGTCCTCCTTGGCCCAGTAGACCTCGTAGTAGGCGAAGAAGACGTCGTCGAAGCGGGCGAGGATGGTCAGCGTGTGCGGGTCCTCGTGCAGCTTGCGCAGGTAGTCGCGGTGCTGGTCCAGCGTGCCCGTCTCGTTCCAGCCCTTGGCCACGCGCGGGTCGTTCTGCCACAGGTGGAAGTAGTTGAGGTGCTCCGGGTTCGTGTAGTCCAGCGCCACCATGCTGAAATGCTCGCCGAGGTGGGGGATGTAGCGGCTGTACAGCACACTCCCCGGCGTGGGCTTCGCCGGGCGGAGGAGGTGCTGCGTGTGCCGTGGCGCCTCGGCGAACGACACCGTCACCGGCGCCTGTTGGAAAGGCACAGGCGGGAATTGCGCCTCGATCTCCAGCGCTGCCTCGCCCAGCCAGATGGGTCTTGTGCCGACGGGCGAGCCTGCGCCCTGCCAGAAGGCGCCGGCGAAGAGGAGGTACTGGGCCGTGGGGGGAGGAAACTCGCCCGCACGCGGGTGCTCCACGACCAGTCCAACGCGGCTCAGCTGGTGCGCGAGTTCCTGCCAGCCGGCGCCGGACAGCACAATCCGGATGCTCTCGCGCTTGTGGTGCAGTGTCAGCAGCGCGTAGGCAGCCAGCCACACCTGGACGACCGTCGGCCGCTGCTGGCCCGTCCAGCGCAGTGTGGTGAAAGGCGTGCGGCGGGCGCGGGCCCACGAGCTGTTGTTGGCGTCGGAGAGGTCGCTGGTGTCGTCGTGCTGGAGCTCTGACCACGTCAGGTCGTCCTTGTGCAGCGGCTGCGGCAGCGGACGGCCATTGTCGCTCGCGGCCTTGGTGGGCTGGATGTGGAATTGCTGGAGGCCGTCGTCGAAGCCGGCGACTGCGATGGTGTAAGATGTGAGCCAAGGGTGCGGGAGCTTAAGCTGCAGCGGCAGCTTTAGCTGCGAGCTTGTTGGCGTTGGCTCGACTTGCGCCATCGTCGAAGCGAGTAATGCAAAGAGAAATTAAGGTTACCAGGTCGACTGGGGAAGAGAATGGTGTTCGCAAAGGACGAAAGAAAAAAGACGGTAGGTACAACAGCTCACCCCAAGCGCAGTAGCATGACGGCCGCAGCTGTCCATTGCTGACTTTTTGGACACTGACGCACGGCATGGGTATCGGCAACCTTTCGCGAAACTCTCTCCCGGGCACCGGCCTGGGCGGGCACCGTATAGTCTTGGCCTTGACTTGCAGGCCTTGGCAAGCGCTGGGCCGCGGTGCCACCGCCTCCTGCACGTCCGGCGATCTTGTTGATGTTCATCCTAGCATTGCTAAATGCCGCGGGTCCTATGTCCTGATTAGATCGTCTGCCCATCTTATCTGATTACCCGACTCAGTCCCACCATCTCTCACTCCACAAGCTAATTCAAGTGCTACCAAAAATTGCCATTCACGAGCCCAAGGGGGAAAAAAGAAGTTTCGCTAAGCGAGTCTGCATGCTCGGTGCCTCGGCTTCTCGCGCGAACTACGCATCCTACAACGCCTGCACATTGGCGCCAATAAGCATTTTCCGCCCCTATACCGGTAGCGATGTCGGAGCCGCTATAGATGTACGTCAACCAGCTCAAGAGCAGTCTCGCGTTTTATAGAAGGTAGGATTCAGGCACTCTGACTGCTGTGTGGACGTCGACCAGATAGGCTCGGGGATAACGGCAAGAAAGCGTCGGTCGAAGTGAAATGGCCGACGCGGAATTTAGAAACTTGCAACACAGCGCGCCGATTCCGCGCATGATCATCGTCAACGGCACGTTTTAGCGCCGCAACCCGCCAATTCAATTTCCGCCCTTCGTCTGTTTTTAATCAAGGTGGGGAACCATGAAAAGGATTTCTTTGAATAAGGTTCATGGTCGGTGCGCGCCACCATCTGCCACACCCGTCTCCACAGATGGCTACCTATCCCTTCAACCGCCGCCACTCGCCAGACTCCACCAACTCGCTCTGAATACGAGGAAAATCCTCACGCCAGGGCGCCCATCACTCGTGACTACCATGATCGGACCCCGCGCACCCGGATGCATGCCATGATCCGTGAAACTGCCCTGATGACTCTGATGTTCCATCACCGATCTGCGCTACGTCCGTTATCAGATGGCCTGGTCCAAGCTCTTGACTCTAGCGGCGATAGCACAGTCGGCTTTTGATGCTGTACCCGAGTCTCTGAAGCGAAGCCCGGGATGCCACTGACTTCGTTCTTACGTACTGACAGCTGCACGGCAAGAGTCAATGCCCTGCTTTGCTAATCATGAGACTACCTGATTGCCCGGGCATGAAATCCACCAGTGGTGCCTCGCCACCGAGTTGCACAATAACCTGTAACTTGCGCCAGTACCGACAGCAGTCTGCCTCTTCTCGTCACGCTACAGTTCAGCTACAAGCGAACTTGGCACCCACATCATCGCCATAACCGCCCGCGTCCGCATTCCTAGGGCGGCGGTGGGAGACGGAAGGATTGCGGGTGGCGGCGAGAGGCTTGCATCCCAGTGTCGTGCTGTGAGACTGAGTTTTAGTCGACCTGAACTTATGTAATGTTAATTATATTATAATGTCTTCATTTGCGTAGCCTTTTGGTCTCTAGGATTATGGGCTTTGACACAGCAGCTTCTTGAATAGACAGTGCGAGGACGCTGCTGCTGCGAGGACTCTCGATTCTAAGATCAGCTTCGTGAGATAGTGGCGGCCCAGGAAGATGTAAACTATACGCTATTGTTATTCACTGATATTTGGATCTATCGACTTGTCCCTCTAGGATTATGCCAAGGAGATTGCAAATATTGTCTCTGTGTCACGACACATGTGACTCACGTTAATAAAATGGATTAATTTCTGACGAGAGAATTACAAGGCGGTAAAGAGGCTTAGAAGCTGTTGGGTTGAGAGACGTCTTCGCCGTTCTTTTTTTCTATTATTTTATTTTTATTGAAGGCACATATCTAGATCATTTCGCTAGCGCAGTGTTCCTATGGAGGGTTACGTAAACAATAATTCAAGTCGGTTGGAAATTCATGTATGCTGCTTCAACATTATAAATATATGCACTGATGGATTCACAGTCCGCTGAAAAGGTATAGAAGATATCAGGATATGTGATATTCAAGAATGGCGATAGGAGCTTCTAACTAAATAGAAGAACAGCATGCGCTGCTTCGCAATGCTCATTTCGCCTCCATAGAGGGTTCGGGATCGGAGAGACCGAGGAATTTCAGCGTGTCTGCCACTAGCGTCAGTAGAGTTCACGTCCTCAATTATGCTAAGTAACTTACTGGCCCAGCCCAGGTCTTTACCGAAAACGAGCTGCAACCTTTCCGGGCCCCAAAGGACGCCCCTGTCGGGGTGGTAGGTGACTGCTGCCTCGCCGATTGCCAAAGCCATCATTGGAGCGACCTCTGGGAACACTTCAGGCTTGACTTCGATATCGGGGTCTTCCTCCTTCAGGATGGCGTTGAAAATGTTACCGGCCGCAACATGGCCCATGACCATGGCGGGTCCGGCGCGCTTGATGCCAGACCAAAGGCAGATGTCGCCGGCAGCAAAGTGACGATCCGAATTCGGAACATCTTTGAGTTGCATGCTGATCACTATCGTCAGCCTGAATCCACCGGGTGCGATTGGTGGGGGGCCTTACTGGGAAGTGACTTTGACGTAGCCGTTCTCATCAACAGCGTCACGTGGCAGACACTCGCTGTTTGGTGAGAAGCGTGAAGCCGCAGGAAAGACGTAGCCAGCGTTGATGACCCTACCGTCGGTGAGTGTGATCTTAGAGAAGCCATCTTCGGCGGTAACGTTGGCACGTTGCCCAAGAATGACCTCAATGCCCATTTCCTCTAACAAGGTCACGGCCTGGGTCTTGAACTCGGACGGAAGAGGCTCATTGGACAGCAGCTCGCTACGGGAGTGGATGAGGATCACCCGGTTGTGGGGATGATAGTTCTTGATCTCGCCGGCGAACTCGATCCCAACGGCGCCTGTAGACGATGCACTTAGTGGTGATGATCCGCGAAGATCACCAGGATCAGATAAGATACTAACCACCGCCGATGACCGCCACAGTGCTGCTTTTGGCAAGTTCGATGCCAGCAATGTGCTTCTGAGCGTCAATCACGTAATTTTTGAAAGAATTGGCCTTTGGCACAATCGGCCATTCTCTCCGCACGCCAGTGGCCAGGATCAGATAGTCGTAGCCGAGGGTGACTTCTTTATTGTCGTCATCATAGTCGACGAAAGTAGCGGACAAGGCATCGGGGTCGATTGCCTTGACGCTCCCGTGACGGATCGACAGCTCCTTCCGCTTCAGGCGCCACTGGGCCTTGTGACGGAGCCAGGAAGATTCGACGGAACCCTTTGCCACGTGGGCGAGCGGAGCTCCCACAGAGTGGACTGCAGGAAGACCATGACTCAGCGCATTTTCTCTCTAAAGAGGGAGGGGAAGAACGTACAGAAGCCGTCACGCTGGTCCACCAGGGTAATCTCGACGGGCCTCTTGGGGCGTGGATTGGGCAGGTCGGACTTGTTGGACTCGCCCTGAACAGGGCGGATGGGCTTGCCATCGAGGCCGTTCAGCAGGCCGAGGACGGCCGTGACACCAGCGTAGGCCCCACCGAGGACAAGGACGCGGTGCGGCTTCTCATCAGCCGCGTGGCCGTTGGTGCTGGCGGGGGCGGGGGTGGCAGACATGGCGTTCGGTCTGGACGCACGCAGTCTCACGCGAGCGAGAAAACAAAATCCCAAGTCGAGGTCGCCGACGGAGTCGGGAAGAGCGGCTAAAGGCGTTATTCATCGCTACTCTCTGGCCGTCCAGCGCAGGCGCGCGCCGAAGCAGGCAGCCGGTTGGGCTGAGATGCATTGTGCATGGTGCGTGGGCAACGGACGCTGAGTGGGCCGGGGCGAGAAAGAGAAGCGAGTCAGGCGGGCAGCCCCACGAGGAAGTGGGGAGGCCTGTTAAAGTTATCAGATCCGCTTTTGTTCGCTTGTGCGCCGTGAAAATTCCGGTGCCTGCCCCTGCCGGCCGTGCCTGACACACGCCGAGGCCCGCGCGCACCGTTCTTGACCTTACTGCGTCAGCAGCCGCGTATGCCTCTTCAGACACTTTGACTCTCTCATTGCGACCATCTTTTTTTATTGCTGCTCGTGCGTCTTTATCTTATCATGTTCCTGCGCCAACGATCCCGCGATCGCCGCCTAGAAACTGAAGGATTGGCCGACTCGCGAGCCTCCACGTCGGACATACCCGGCGAAGACGCTCCTTTGCTCATGAACCACCCCGACGACCCTCCGCAGCAGGGCGTGAGGGAGATTGAAGCTGTCCGCTCCATCTGGACTCCACGTCTGCTGAAGATTGCCTATCTCTCCGTCTTTCTGGTCATTCTGGGCTGTTCGCTGGAGACACAAGCCAGTTCTAATTTGGTTACCTATGTCACGAGTGACTTTTCCCAACATGCCCTTGTATCCACCATCTCCGTCAGCACCGGCCTCATTGCAGGAGTGGCGCGTGTTCCAATTGCTAAATTGATTGATATCTGGGGACGCGGGGAAGGCTATGCGGCCATGGTAGCCTGCACAACTATTGGTGGGTCCACTCATTGCTTATCATCTTCTGCGTGCTGAGCTAGTCCTGGCAGGGCTTATCTTGATGGCGGTTTGTAGGAATATAGCTACATATGCCGTGGCTCAGGTAAGATTACACCAATTGCGCCAAGTCATGGTCTAACGTGGTCTTAGGTTTTCTACTGGATCGGATTTGATGGGATAGGTTCGTTGTCAGCCCACACTTGGAGGACGTGCACCTAATAATGCAGGCTATGTGCTCCAGGTTTTTCTGGCAGATACTTCGAGCCTCAGAAACCGCGCTCTTGCATTCTCCCTCTCGAGTACTCCGTACATTGTGACTACTTTTGCCGGTCCGGCTGTGGCACAATATTTCCAAGATTATTGGAATTGGAGGCTGGCTTATTGCATTTTTGCCATCACTACGCCCCTCGTCTCGTTCCCAATCATCTATTTGCTGTTTCACACGAAACACATCGCCATCAGGAAAGGCATCCTCAAGCCGAATGAACTGAAGAGAAGGGAGCCATGGCTACAGCAGGCAAAGACATTTGCAGTCCAGTTCGACGGTATGGGACGATCCTCCATATTCCCACGACACAACTGACATCACTCGCCTAGCCGTCGGTTCGATCCTCTTCGTCATCGGCCTTGCCCTGATCCTCCTGCCGCTTAGCCAACGCGCACAACCGTCCGCCTCAGACGGCAGCGGCTGGTTGTCAGCTTCTACCTTGAGCAAATTTCTCGCGGGCTACACCAGCCTGTGTCTCTTCGGGATATGGGAGTGGAAATACGCACCGGTACACCTGATTCCATACCGCGTCGTCTTCGGCGACCGCACGGTCCTAGGCTCGTGCCTCCTCTGCTTCATCTCCTTCGCCGCCTTCAACTCCTACCACGCCTACTTCCCCTCGTACCTGCAGGTCGCGCGCTACCTGTCCATCCGCGAAGCAGGCTACATCGCCAACATCTTCTCGCTGACGTCGTGCCTGCTCGGCGTCGTCTTCGCCTACGTCATCCGCCAGACGGGCCGCTACAAGCGGCTGGGGCTGTGGGCGCTGCCGCTGCGCAGCGTCGGCGCGCTCGCCCTCATCCCTGCCGTGCGCGACGCGCGCGCGACATCAGCGGCCGACGTGGTGGCGTGCCAGCTCGCCAACGCCGTCGCTGGGGCGGTCCTCATCGTCGCCAACCAGACGGCCGTCAACGCCGCCGTCGCGCACGCCGACCTCGCCATCGTGCTCGCCGTGCTGCTGCTCTTCTCGTCCATCGGCGCCTCCGTCGGCACGGCTATCGCTGGCGCTATCTGGACCGCCTCCATGCCCGGTTTGATCAGAGACTTCTTGCCCGACGGCAAAAAGGACCTCGCCGAGGAGCTGTACGGCAGCTTGAAGAAGCAGCTCGAATGGGCGCCCGGCACCGACGTGCGTGATGCGGTTGTCAAGGCGTACTGTGTCACGCAGGTTCGCCTGTGCATCGTCGCGGCTGCGAGCGTGCCGTTTGTCGTGGCCTTTGTCATGATGTGGCGGGATCTGCCGGTCAGGGACGAGGACGAGGGTGGGAAGGATAAGTGGAAAGGAGAGGGGCCGGTCGAGCATGGGGATTGAGCGGCGAAAGTTTGAGGGAAAGAAACCGGACGAAAGCGTGCTTAGAGGGCATGTCGGAAGGTTGGAATATATGGTCATTGCAAAAGAAGAAGCTTAGAGAAGACTGAAGAATGAATTGCATATTACAACTAGATGGGGAGTTTCATAGATGAAAGGTAGACTCGGGTATTTGATAGAATTCTACGAGATGTATAGCACCTCGAGAACAACATATGGAATTAGAGGATGGTGTTGTTGGCTACCGGATCCTAAGTCGAGCCCAAAACGTTGAGTTTACCTAATTCAGTAGTTGCTGATGGTCTGATAGTGGTATTGACTAGGGATGCTTCTCGAACGCTCTCAAGATGCGAATGCGAAAGGCGATCAGCGATTCGACTCTCAAGTGTGTGCCTCGTGTATGGCTGGATCAGCCTCCTTCGTCACGAAATGTATAGCCTGCAGCCAGCAAAATCTGAGAATGACCATTCGTAAAGAGTGCCTGCGGGCCAAACGCACCACCAGCCCTATAGAGAGCTTTGTTGTCACGGGTGGTCAGCGAGCACGGAGCGAACGACTCGATGAGGCAGGTGGTTTCTTAAGCGAGGTGTGGTAGTCCCAATAATGACATCTACGACTTAGAATTGGATCCATAGTCGACGGATGCACGGCCGAGAGGATGGCGGGAGGAAAAGGCGAGGCTGCGGGAGGCACCGAAGGTTCGATTCGTATGTTTCAAGGGCAAATGATGAAACTAGTTCGTATGGCATGTGGTTTGCCGGAGTATTCTGGATTGTGGTCCACTGCCCTTCGGTTCTACAGAAACGGTAGACTCTGCATGAAGATCGGCAGGATTCGATGGAACCGTGGCATTCGCGCCGGGTAGGAAAGATATGGAAAGCAGGAACGCAAGGCGAGAAATCCCACGACCGTCGATCATGCTTTGTTGCCCGCCATTTATTCTCGAGAAGTGAGCTTTCCTTCTCCCAGATCTCAACGGGCCCCGCCGACGTGATCCCACGCCTTCTTCATGTCAGCCCACTAGCCGTTCGCACTAAATAAAACTTTAGGTCCTGCCCTTTTCTTTCGGATCCGATCAAGCAAAGTTCCGTGCGGCGGAAATGTCGTGCCGAGGCACCAAGAGCAAGTTTCAAGGTGTGAGATTCCGGAAAGAGCCGTCTACTATGATGTCTATTACTTCATCATGCGCAAAAACAGCTTGTCCAAGATCTTGATGCCGAAAGCTTGTCGTGCGGCTTGGTAGAGAGATTTCTTTCGTTGGCTGGAGGGCCGCTGCAATACTGCATTTGCTCTACGTTGGTCTGCAGCTGTGCTGAGCCGGATACGGGCGGATTGGAATGTGGGCGAGGCCGGCCTTGGAACTGGCCTGGCTGGAGAAAGCGATCCTGGTGGACAAGCCACCCAGAAGGCGCATTCATGGCGTGCTCATGAGCAATTCTGTGGGAAGGATGGCGGCCACCAACGGATCAGCGCTCTCGGCGGCCCAGGCGGAATGATGTCCAGGGGCTGGGCGTAATCAGGATGGATCGCGAGGGCTCGGCGCTAGCAATGCAAATGGTGGCGATGAAGTGGAGGAGGTGGTGGTGAAGTGTTGCGAAAAGGAGCCACGACACGACGACGAAATAAACTCATAAACTTTCCGCTTGGGCCTCACTGATTGGAAAGCACGTTGAGCAGTTATCTGATCCTTCTGATCCGCCGATAAGATATCGTATCACCCCTCATGTTTATCTTGTGAGACGTGAGAGTTGGTGTAGACGGTTTCCGCCATTCAAGTTTCGGACATCGATGTTGGTCGTAAGTACGAGGCGGAAGATCGGACTTTGCCCTTTCCCGCAGAAGCGCGCCAGTCCACACATAAACTGGCCGCTCCCGCGGTGCCGCCCGCTAGCCACATCCATTCATCTTTCTGTCTGCCTCGGACAAGCTCCAGTGCCCAGAATGTCGGCCAGATACGAACCCGACGGCATCTCAGCCCCTGCCTCAGGCCACCACAGTCGGCGTTAGGGAGCGTGCCTGGCATGATGGACTCTCCGTGTGTTTCCGACAGGGTGGGCCGACGTCGACTTCCAGACTGCCCAGAACGCCCGTCTCCACCCGCATCGCGCGCAGTTGGCGACGCGCCGGCGTGAGCCGCCAAGGGCTTGTGGTCGATCGTGAGAACCAACAACCCGTCTCGCAGGCCCGGGAACCCGCCGCAGTCGCCGTGCACCGGCCAAAGCGCGAATACGAGCGAATCACCAGGCACTCCCGCAGAATCTGATAACCATAAGGAAACGTCCCGAAGCCCAGCGTTTTGCGCCGATATTCGCACCGATGCTGAATTTTCGGCTGTCATCAGCCGGGCTATGGCCGATCTTATCAGCATTCGTAGTCCCACTCCGCCTCGCTTGTTGCATCACCCCATCATCTCCACCGTAATCAATCAGTCAATCAATCAGATTAAATCGCGCCCTTGCAGCTGCTTGTTGCCCGCCATCATACGCTGCCCTGCGATTGCCGGCCTGTTTGCCGCTTTGCGCAGCGCTTGCAGTTGCCACGGAAAAGTCAAATCAGCCACACACACACCAAGGCATTTCAGAATTCGGATTGGATGATCGTGCAAGTGGCTAAACGACAATCAGCCCGCTTCCACTGGACCCTGACTGACGCGAAAGGGTTCGATCCGACAAGACTCCGCACACTGGCGGATTCAAGTCACATTGGCCGTCGATTGCGGCTGTGGCGCAATTCACGTGCTGTAAAAACGTGCGCTTTTTATTATTTTTTCCGCTCGCCTACTTTCTGACTACCAAAGTGGGTACTCGAGCATCGTCATGGGATCTCCGCCTCTGATCTAATGTCCTGTTGCACTTGAAAGGTCACTGACAATCACAGCCAGCCGTTATGCATATGATCTTGTGGCTATGAAGCTGCTTATTCTTGTACATTCAGAGCTTCCGCAAACTTCCGCCCTGGTAACGAGATGCCTTTGAGAGCGCCAAGTCAAACACGAAAAAGGTGGCTGAGTGGTGACTAATATTGCAAATAGAGTCCGTGAATATCACAAACTGACGAAATGGCAGCCTTCGACATCTGACTCGAGAAAACTATGCTCAGCGAATAATGAGGCTCTTTGAAGTCGATTCTGTCTGCAAAATGTGACCGCGTCGTATCACTTTGCGCCAGACAACCCGAAGTGTTCAGGCACGACCGAAGTTTTCTGCCCTGTGGGTTTGGAGTCCATCGTGGCTTCCCATATGCCCCAGTCAATGATACCATCGATCAGGCCACTCTTGAAAGCCTTTGCATTCGATTTCCTCCGTATTGCACTTCTGCTCTCCGTTTTTTCCATGCGTTACGTACTCAAGCTTTGCGTGTGAGTTCCAGGGCGGGGGTATTGCTTCTTCGCTGGAAGTGTGACGAAGATCAGGCGTGTGCTGGATGACACTCCAGGTCGTGTTGCTGCAGATTTCAACGTTGTTTCTGCGTGCAAAATACTTTGGAAGCGTAAGCTAGTCTCACGCGATAGGCTGTGGATGAGAAACTCACGTCTCGTAAGCAGGAGGCGGAAGTGATTCATCGCGTCGGCTTCAACTTCTTCAGTGCTGCAGAGCAAATGGCCTTTGCTTTTTGGCGCTTCCCCGTAGGGCCCTTGGGACGCCTTTGCGGCTTCTCTGGCTCGACAAACTTGATTGCCGTCTCGCTTGTCTCTTGGCTGTCCACCCTTCTAACCTTGGCCTGAGGAACATGAGCGTGCCGAGCAGCAGTGTGGCGAATCTTGTCTTCGGTGCCGAGGAGTTTCTTGACCATCTGCGGATCGCAGTAGAAGCTGTTGGAAGACGAGGGCGCGTGGTTGGCAGCAAACATGGCGTGCTCAAGTGGCTTGGGTCGGGTCAGGGATGTCCAGGACGCTGTTGCAGTCACTTCAGATGGCAATGCACTCGATTAAAGCACCTATATCGCCTGCTAATTCCAAGGCTTCGACTCCCATTTTCTCAGCGGAGAGGGCGGCGTCCGCGCCTAAAGCTAACGCATGATACTCATGCATGTGACTTGACCCGCCACAAATGTCGCCCGACCCAAGAGTAAGTGAGGCGCTTCGCGCGGCGCAGTGTCAGGCGCAAAAAACGAAACAGAGAAAACAGAAGCGATTCTCAGAACCGGCTTTCTCGCAGGCTGATGACCTGAGCAATCCAGCTGAAACCTCTGTGGGCCTTTTATTAGTAACCCAGTTCAAGCGGCGGAATATTAGGAGCAGAAGAGGCGCTCATTGGCCCACACAGGCGACAGCCTCATTGGACGGTGTTGCGAAGGGCACCAGCCAGGCGGTCTCGGAGCTCGGTTGTTTTTGTCTTATCAGATTTAGTTTGTGCGCGATGGATGCCCGTCTGTGCTTTCGCTGCCCCCACGATCTGCATGGAACGCCCGCCTGCCCTCCTGCCCTTTTCAACACAGCAACAGCCAAGCCCACACCTCGTAAATGCCCACCCGATGCTCGGAGAAAGGGACCGTCTGAGCCACCAGCATTAGCGAATGAAGGAGCTATGGCGCCATGCAGCGGAAAGCTGCCTCATGAAAAAAATTCTGACGGTTGCATCGTTGCTGTCGTGCACAGTGTTGCTCTCGCCTTCCGCAAGATCTCGATCACCGTCGAAGATCGAATGACCGCCTGAGCCTGCGCCCTCTGTTGCTGCTGCAGGTGCTGCGGTGCATCCCAGACGAATTCGACCTCCCGTCCCCGGATTCGACCACACGGCAGACGCAGCTGACACTTGAGCATGGCTGCGAAGAAGGTACGCTTTGTTGCTCCTGTCCCCCCGCATTTCCCCTCATGTGGCGGCGGTATCGCGATAAGCCGCACTGGTAGCTGACTTGTTGTCCCGCTCCAGGTACCCGGCACTGGCCTGCTCGTGCGCCTGGCCGGCTCGCTCATCGATAAGGACTTCTTCCCTCTGCTGCTCGCCGCCGAGCCCGAGAAATTCGATGTCTTCCTGCTCGTGGCCGGCGTGGTTGGCGCCATGTGCGCCGGCCTACCCTTTCCCTTCTTAGGAATCCTGTTCGGCAAGCTGGTTGACGACCTCAATTCCTCCTCCTGCGATGACGCCCCCGATCCCGCCCGGCTGGAACACGCCGTGCGCCAGAAAGTCGTGCTGGTCGCCATCGTAGCCGGCTTCAACTTCGCTTTGATTTATACCTATATGGGATGTTGGACCCTGTTTGGAGAGCGCCTCGTCCGCCGCCTGCGCACCCGCTATCTGTCTGCTTTGTTGCGCCAGGAGGCTGCCTTCTTCGACGGCATGCCTGCCGGTGAGGTCGCCTCGCGCCTGGATACCGACCTGCAGACCATCCAGGCCGGCGTGTCCGAGAAGGTCGGCATCTACATTGCCAGCTTGTCCTATTTCTTGGCCGCTTATGGCGTAGCCTTTATCATGGATGCCCGCCTCGCCATCATTCTGTTTTCTTTGGTGCCGACATATTGGGCCATGACGAAATTAGGTGGCTACTTCACTGCCAAGTACTCCAAGCAAGTGCAAGAGGCCGTTGCTGAAGCCAGTTCGATTGCCTCCGAATGTCTTTCCAACATTCAAATCGTGCATGCTTTTCGCCTAGAGTCTCGTCTGGAGGGGATTTTTGCTGGCCATTTGCTGAAGGTGCAGCCCGCTGCTATTGGCCAATTCATTACCGCCGCCCTTCAGCTGGGCGGTTTGTACTTGATTGCATACACTGCCAATGCCGTGGCTATCTGGCAAGGTAGCCAGCAGATTGCAGATGCAATTGTTGACCAGACCGACTTCACCGTCGGCCGCGTGTATACGTGTATTCTGGTTCTGGTTGATGGTGAGCTCCGCGCCCGCCTTTCCCCTGCTCCACAATAAATACTGACGCACATATCAGCATCTTTTATCCTCACTCAGGTCGCTCCTTTCCTGCAGATTTTCTCTGGAGCAGCTGTGTCTTCGAAGAAGCTCTTCGAGACTGTCGACCGCGAGTCTAAGATTGACGGCACCTCCGACTTCCACGGCCAAATTCCGCCGACCTTTGAGGGTGGCTTCGAGCTTCAAGATGTCCGCTTCCGCTATCCCTCGCGCCCGGATGCACAGGTTCTCGATGGTGTTTCTCTTAGCATTGAGCCCAAGAAAATTACCGCTCTTGTGGGTTCCTCCGGCAGCGGCAAGTCTACGCTGGCTTCCCTTCTCCCGCGAATCTACGATCTCGAGGACGGTGAAGGCTCCATTCTCGTCGATGGCATGGATATCAAGGAGATCAACACACGGTTCCTGCGCAGTAACATCGCCATCGTCGAGCAGAACCCCTCTCTCTTCGACGTCTCCATTCTCGAGAACATTGCTTTTGGTCTGATTGGATCGCCGCGCCGTGACCACCTCTTTCTGCAGGACACCATCAGCGACGGCAGCCTGAGCGAGTGCGTTCAAAAGGTCCAGAAGGGATCCACCTTTGACATTGCAGCAGACGCCGCATGTAAGCAGGTCATCCGCTTGGTGCAGGAAGCTGCGAGTCGCGCCGGTGTCACCGAGTTCGCGAACAACATGGAACATGGCCTGGCGACGCAGGTTGGCCCTGGCGGTAGACAGCTTTCTGGTGGCCAGAAGCAGCGTGTAGCTATTGCCCGTGCCCTGATCCGCGACGCGCCCGTGCTTGTCCTTGACGAAGCAACATCTGCCTTGGATTCGTTCTCCGAGCAGACGATCCAGAAATCGCTGGAGGAAACCTGCCAGGGCAAGACCATCGTTATCATTGCACACCGTCTGGCAACTGTCAAGAATGCGGACAAAATCATCGTCATGGCTAAGGGCAAGGTTGAGGAAGAAGGTGGCTACAATGAGCTTCTGCAAAGAGACGGCATCTTTGCTTCACTCGTCAAGATTCAGGACATCCAGAAGGAAGAAGACAAGGCCTCCACCCAGCAGCTGATTGATGCCGGCGAGAGGGGAGAATCATCCGCGGCTGGCAGCAGCGGCTTTTCCGAAAAGAAAAATGCGGACATGGGCGATATCAGTCTGGACTCTGATGACGATGACGAAGACCTTCCGCTACTTGATTCCCAGGTCAACCCGGAGCTTTCTGTTGTGAAAGACAAGAAAGACGAGCAGCAGCGCTCATTCATCTCCACCTTGATTGCCATCATCGGTCTTGCCCGTAGATGGCGCCTGTACATCATTGTCGGCGTCATCGCAGCTGTTATCGTTGGCGGCTCTCATTCGGCTGAAGCTCTAATTTTCGGTAACATGATTTCGCATATTAACCCGTGCGAAGAGGAGTCTCTTGTCCGTTGGGGTGGTATTTTCTTCTCCCGTCTCTTCTTCCTCCTCGCTCTCCTTGAGTTTAGCGCTTCAGTAACGCGCGGCTCTGCCTTCGGTTTCGTTTCCGAGAAATTGCTGGTCAAGACACGGATCCTGACTCTACGTTCGCTTCTCCACCAAGATGTGGCATGGCACGAATCCGAGGGCCGCACCCCTGACACTCTGCTCTCGTATATCACGACCGATACTAACAGCTTAAGTGGTATGACCGGCTCTGTGCTGGGTATCTCTTTTTCTATTATTGTCAGCTTAGTCCTGGGTGTTACCATCTCCCATATCGTCGCCTGGAAGATCGCTATTGTCCTTCTAGCCACGGTCCCAATCCTGCTACTCTCAGGCTACCTGCGTCTCCGCATGTACGCGCGCTTCCATGAAAAGCATGCTAAGGCATTTAGCACGTCTGTTGGTGTGGCTAAGGAGGCAGTAGACTGTATTCAGACGGTCGCTGCGTACTCGCTTGAAAACCTAGAGCTTTCCGTGTATCAGCGCGCTCTGAAGGAGCCATACGATGCGACGATCCAAGGTATTACTATCGGAAATTTCTGGTTGGCCCTGTCGTACAGCATCAGCAACCTCATCTACGCGCTAGCATACTGGTGGGGCGCAAAGAAGACGGCCGATGGCACCTACACGCAAACGCAGTTCTTCATCGTCTTGCCGGCCCTCCTGTTCTCGGCTCAGAGCTGTGGTCAGTTCTTCTCGCTCGCGCCTGATATCTCCCGCGCTGGTGTCGGTGCCCGACGCATCCTCGACCTTATTGATCGTGCGCCGCTCGACCCGTCCGCGGGCAAGTACCAGGACGCGCAAGGAGGCGACGTCTTCACGTCGTTCGAGGACGAGGAGTATGACCCCGAAGTCGACGGTGATGAGACGACCGGGCTTGCGATGAAGCAGTTCGGCAAGTCTCGACGTAGCCAAAACCAGCAGGGCATGTCGGTATCGTTCGAGGACGTGCGATTCGCATACCCGTCGCGGCCCAACATCGAGGCCCTCAAGGGGCTGACGCTGGACATCAAGGCAAACCAGTTCGCAGCTCTGACAGGCCACTCGGGCTCGGGCAAGTCGACGACACTGGCGCTGCTCGAGCGCTTCTACCGGCCATCCTCGGGCACGGTTAAGCTCGACGGCCGGGCCCTCACCTCGACCGACCTCTCCTTCCGCGACGACGTCGCCCTCGTGCCGCAGGACTCGTGCCTCTTCGACGGCACCATCCGCTTCAACATCGCCCTCGGAGCTCCCCCCGGCGTGCGCGTCTCCGACGCCGACATCGAGACGGCCTGCCGCGCCGCCAACATCCACGACACCATCATCTCCCTGCCCGAAGGCTACGACACGCGCTGCGGCTCCAAGGGCTCGCAATTCTCCGGCGGTCAGCGCCAGCGTCTATCCATCGCACGCGCGCTGCTGCGTAAGCCCCGTCTGCTCCTGCTCGACGAGCCCACGTCGGCCCTCGACGCCGAGAGCGAGCGCATCTGGCAGACGACCCTCGACGGCCTCATGACGGGCGACGTCACCGTCATCGTCATCGCTCATCGTCTTGCCACCATCAGGAAGGCGGATGTGATTTTCTTGATCGAGGGCGGAACCTGCGTTGACAGGGGCACGCATGAGGACCTGTTTGCGCGCAGCGAGAGTTATAAGAACAGCGTGATGCACCAGACGCTGAGGTAGAGGTGAAGGTTAAAGGGAATGCAAATGACGGCAAGAGATGGGGAGGAATAAATCAAGCGAAATGAGGAATGGACTTCGTTGATGGTAACGAGGTTTAGGAAAAGGAATGTTTTATGATTGGGTCTCTCCTCTTTTTTTTTTCTCCTGGCCTTGATAGACGGTTGAGGCTGAATGGCTCTATTTACGATTTGAACAGCAATGAATCTCTCTTTTTAATTGACCTTTTTGCTTGGTGTCTACAATTCTGATCCCCTCGAAACATCAACTTCGATTCATCTCTTTTACTGCCAAATCACAGGACTGTTAGAGCTACTAATACTTTCCGTGTTACTAGTAGTCCGCGTTGCTGTTGGCTTGCCTTGTCATTAGTAGTAACCCTAGTAGTAACCCGTGTTACTGATGGGTGCCTGCGTGGGTGGATGCCTGCGTTAGTGGTGGTAGGTGCCTATGTTGTTAGTGAATGAATTGTTGGTAATCGCACGGTTAGTAATTACACAATTAGTGATTTATGTTAATAATATTCTGAGTAGTAATTCTCTTAGACCTCTCTAAAAAGTTTTCAAGTTCACGTGTGAAAAATATGAATGAGTGATATTTCGAGGGGGGGTCAGAATAACAGGATGGGGGGCCAGAAAAGTAGGCGCCTTTTGCTTTCAACGTCTAGGCGGGAGCGCTTAATACTGCGTCGGGCTGGTCTCAAGCGGGCTATTCTCCAATTTAGTGAATAGAAATATGTACACTCACCAAAGAGAGTCCAAATCCTACTCATTATTCTCAGTTTCGAGCCCCCAAGATCATTCCTTACTCTTCACTTCGGCACAACACCATAGCATGACCTCTCTCCCACCACCCCCCCCTTTCTCCTTTACAGCTTCCCCACCACCCCCTCCTTCTTCCCCCTCTCCTCAGCCAAAACCTCGCTCTTCAACCCCACTTCGACCCGCCTCGGCCCTTCCTTCGTGAAATCGACCAAGACGACGTAATCGCTGACGCCCGCGCGGCCCTTGCCCGCCAGCTCGGGCCCGGGCTTGTCGAGCGCCAGGACGACCCTGCCGTCGCTCTTGCGCCGGCCGCCGCCCACGACGGCCGGCGAGATGCACTTGTCGCCCCAGCCGCCCTCCCTGATGAACGAGAGGAGGGCGGCGCGCTGGTTGCGCAGGACGTCGAGAGGGGGGGCTGAGGGGGATGATGATGATGACGATGGTTTGACGTGCTGCGCGACGAGGTGGAGCAGGAAGAACTGCGGCGGGAAGAGGATGATGTCGCCGGCGCGGGCGGCGTCGAGCCAGGCGTGCGCGGGGAGGAAGCGCGCGGCCGTGTGCTCGACGCCGCCGTCGGGCGTGGGGATGACGGCGTCGTGGTCCAGGGGGAGAGAAGAAGAGGCATCGTCCGCCGTCGCTGCTGCCGTGGTGGTTCCCTGCTGGGAGGGGAGTGGCATGAGGTACAGGTACATCTGCGTCGTGAAGCGCTTCGGGGCGTTCGTGGGCGTGATCCACCGGGTGAATGGAATGAGGTTGTCTGTGTGTTCGCGAGAACAAAAAGTGAAGAGAAAAGGTTATCACTTCCGTCTCCTCTCGAACGCTGACCTCTCTCAAGCATCATGGAGAAGTGTATAAGCGTGCCATGTTCAGGGGTTGGCCGAACTCACCAATATCAGCCTTGACATCCCACTCCTTCAGCACATCTCCGAACCTCCTCTTCCCCGCGTGCACATCCCTCCTCGCCCTCTCCCTCTCCTCCTCATCCACCTTCGCTAACCGATCTTCCCCCTCCCTCTTCGCCAACAGGATACCACTCTCTTCAAAGCACTCCCTCACGCCTGCCCACCTGTACGCGGGGCCGTCCGCATGCCTCCCACCGCTCGCATCCTCGGCATCCGGGATCTCCCCGTCGTGGAAGCTCTCACAGTTTCCACCCGGGAAGACGTGTGCCGACGGGAACGATGATGACGTCTGCACGCGGTGCAGCAGCAGCACCTCGTTTGTCGGGGAGAGCAGCAGGATGGAGGACGAAGGGCGAGGCGGAGAGGGGGCAGCCTTCTTCTTTGGCGATGCTGTCGCAGAGGAAGAAGAAGAAGAAGCACTCCTAGATTGGAGCATGATCGGGAGATTGAGGCGTTGGGATGCGCTAGGATATAATGATGCTTGTCGGGGTGCGCGATGGAGACGTGTCGTGAAGGTAGAGAATGCCGCTGGCAGTCTCGCGTGAGACCGATACACGACTGAAGGCTGTAAAGTATAGAAGCTGGTCAGCTTCAACCCACAGCGGGAAGAATAGCGCATAGCGGCCGAGGTGGTGGGAAAACGCGTGGCGGACCGGTGATCTCCATTGCGAGGTGTCTGCGGGGAGCAGCTAGGCTGAGCCGAGGTTGCCCTGGCCTTTGAGAACAAGAGCTCGCTTATCGGCATCTACGTCATACAAAGATCGGGTGGCTGCCTGTGGTGGATATATTTATTTTACCCATTAAAAAAGTACTTCAACTTTTGGCCACGCTCTAGGATGGGCCATGAAGTTATATCTGATAAGTCATGCACATGCGCGCGTACATACATTTCTATACCCTTACTCCACAACCCTACCACCCGAAAAAAAAAAGAAAACAACAAAAAATGAGTTCAAACACCATTGCGCTCTCCAGAGCTCATCTCATGCAGAATAACCAAACGTCAAGCAAATAAAAGGCCTCCAGAACCAGTATGGAGAAAAAGAAGTGGAGGGAAAACATGGGGTATGTGTGCGGGTAATAGTGCTTGTTGGGGTATTCATCCACCATCATGGAACTCAGGAATGAGAAAAAAAATTCGTATCCCCAAGAAAACGACGCCAGTTTCCTCAAATTGTCGTCAAACGTGGAACCAGTCGTAAGAAAGCAAAGGCGTGACGAGATCATTCTCCAGTCATGACCATTCAAGATCCGCCATCTCTGTAAAACTTCTTGAACACCAGGTGCAAGAGGAGATTAACATTAAGCTTCAGCGAGCCTTGAGCTGCTCCGTCCTCTCCCCCAAACAGGTGGATGAACTGTTTGTTCTCGAACTGCGCCTGCAGGAGATCGTCGAGTGGAATCACCGCGCTGGCTCCTGGAATCATCATGCTTCCGACCGAGCCTTCGACAAGGAAGATACCGACCTGGTCGCTGGAGATGGTGACGTTGGTCTTCTCCCAGCCACGGTCTCTGTCCGTGTAGCCTCGCCATTCGACCAACACACCCTTCTCGCCAAGAGCCCGAGCTGAATACTTGAACGAGCCGAACTTGGGAACTTGGCCTCGCCTCTGCAGCTCACGCTCGTGGTTGTACTGCTTCGTGAAGGGAAGGAGGAAGCGCTTCTTTCCCTTCTTACTCTGCAGTGTAATCATGGCTTGCTCAATGTAGTTGTTGTACGACTTGAGCTGGCTGTCCAACCACTCCGACTTGGAATCCAGAGCAGTGAGGGTTGCCCTAATGTTCTCCATTTCGCGGCTGCGCTGGATGCGCCGGCGATGCTTGGTGCGGATATCGATGGCAATGTCGTTGAGCAGATCCTGGTACTTGTTGTCACGGGTGATGCGACCCGTTTGCTCCAGAGTCAAGACGTTCTCAAGTGCAGTACGCTTGAGTTCCGTGTAGCTGAGAGAAGCAATGTCGATCAGAGGTGAGGCGGTATCGGTATAGGCCGAGCGCTGCCTGTCATTGTCGGGAAGGATTTCCTCCTGGATAAGGGCCGCCCAGCGATCCTCGTCGTCGTCCGTCACCGGCTTGACCATGATGCTCAAGAGGTCGGGACCCGTCTGAATGCGGATGATATACAGGACACAGCGCTTCGTCTCCATGAACAAGGCCTTGATGGGTGCTTCGGCATCTACGAAGTGTCAGAATTCCACAAATCCTATATATTTAGATGTTACTCACCTTCAACTTCATGGAACTTGGGGTTCAGAGTAAGACTGATCTCAGTCGCATTCACGCCGGACAATTCGTGTTCGTTGCCCTTCGCACTGCCCAGCTCGCGGAGCAACTCCCGCAGAGGAATGTCTTCCTGCGCAATGCAAACAGAGGGGAGGTCCGAGGCGACGAGCTGATGGATGGCGAAGATGTCCGAAAGTTTGATATACAGAGTAGGCTTCTGAGTGCTGTAGAGATCATTGAACTCGTCGATATCAAACTGAGTTTCAGCTGGACGAATGGTGATGACTGAAGAGAATCAGTATATGTTAGAACCGCAACCAATGGAGAACTTACGGGTTGTCCATATTTCTTCAAGCCGGCCGATTGCTTCGGTGATGTAGCTGTTCAACGGCTGCAGGTAGATATTGTCGCCGCCAAAATGCCTTCCTGCTGCAACTTGACCGACTACCTTTGCCACCTCGCCGAGGTTTCTCTTCTGAAGAGGAGAGAGACCACGGTCAATGACTCCCCACGTCTCAGGCTGCACGAGAGCTGGCTGCAGGTAAGTCTTCCAGAGCCAGTGTCCAATGATTTGGAGGACGTGCTGTGGCTCTTCATGAGGGAACTTCCCGCACAGGGCTTCATATTGCTGCTGAGCAACAAAGCGCATGCCGTAGGGCATCTTGTGGAGAAGCTCCTCCATGCAAGAGAAAAACTGGTCAGCAATGTCACGCAGGTCCTGCAAATGGCGGATGAAGGTTTCGCGAGTTTCTGGGTCTCGGATCGCTTCTTCGCGGGGTACATCCGGCATTCTGCGGCTGCGTCGGCCCGTTCTGAGTTCTTCGTTGTTGATGGCCGAACGGTAAATTTGCAGAGGATCGCTCTCCAGATCGAGTGCTTCGTTCTCCATGATGTTCTCCTTGATCAACGGTTGGAGCAGCTCTCGCAAGTACTTCCTGTCTCGTGGAGTCCGGACGTAGTTGCCAAGGACCTTGGTCCAGAAGAAGTTTCCACGAAGGTAGTCTTGAATGGAACCACACATGTCAACCTCTTCTCTGATCGACCGAGAAATAAGCTTAAGGAGATAGTATTCCTCTCTCCTCTTCTGAGCGAACCCGAACAGGCCCATGATGAGGAGCTCAACACGTTTACTCTCCTTTTCAGCCATGCCTTGGTCGCGGAGCTTCTTGAACAGGCGTGCAAGATACTGGGGCTGGGTCTGAAGGATGAAGAAGAATTCCTGGTAATGCTCCAATTTCTTCCTCGAGTTCTTGTTCAGTGCTCTGAGATCAAAAGGATCCTTGGAAGCCAGCTCTTTGTTGGTCAGAAGGTTTCCGACATGGCCACCGAAATGCCTCTGGTGCTTTACGACTTCGTCAAGAGTGATCTTATTCCGGACGAGGAGGGCAATCTTGATGTCAAGTTGATCGATATATTGCTCAGCCATCTCATTCTGGCGGATGTGCTGAACAACCGTCTTCCGCAGGCGCTCGAACTCTGCAGCCCAGTTAGCAATTCAACATCAAGTAGGATGCGATAAATTTTGGACTCACCAATCTCTTCGTCGAAGTCAATATCGCTGTCATTGAGCAAGTGAACGAAGTTCTTGACAGTGCTAACCGGCGGGTTCTTTCCAGCAGTGAGACTCTTATACGCTTCACCCTGCTGGCGACCGCGGACGAAGCTCTGAATCTTGATGACCTTTTCCATGTTCTCTCTGTAGAACTTCTGCTTCTCAACAAATCGAGTCCTAATCATTTTTCCACGCGCGAGAGACTGGAGCTCGCAAATTGCTTCCTCTTCAGGCTCCAAGTTCATAAGAAGGTTGCCGATCTTCGCCCGGGCAAGCATCGCCCGCGCGAGGGCCTGAAGCTCCACTACTTGGTCTTCGTTCTCGGCAAGAGCGCAAAGGATGTCGTACGTCTCGCCTCGCATGGCGAAGCCACGTATCGCGGACTGGAATTCGATGATGTTCGGGGTCGCGGCCTCAAGGGCCTTTAGGTCAGCCTGATACTTCTGTCGGAGGAGCTGGCCCCTGATTGCCGACTGCAAATCTATGACCGTCTCCTCTTGCTCGGCCAACGCGCTCAATGTCTCGGCAACTTCAGCTCTGGTCTGGGCACCGCGGGCAGCAGATTGAAGTTCAACGATACCGTCAGTACATGAAGCGAGTCTTTCGCGCAGCTGGTTGATTGAGCTGCGGAGCGCGTTGCCACGAGCAGCAGCTTGCAACTCTGCCCAGTGAACTTCGTTACTTGACAAGTCGTCCACCAGTTGCGAAGTCTGAGCCCTTGCAGCGGCTCCGCGAATAGCTCCCTGCAGCATTGTGAAGACAGCCTCCTGCTGGCGGAGGTGGTTCTGTTCCGCGCGCTGAGCTTTGCGGATCAACATGCCGCGGGTCAGCGCTTGGAGAAGTTCGATTTGGTTGCCAGCCTCTTGCGTAGCTGCCCACTGATCGTCCACTTGCTTGCGCAGAAGCGCGCCACGAATGGCAGACTGCAAGGCCTGGATTCCAATCTCGGCATCTTGTGCGGCAGCAAGCTGATCCTCCACCTTCTTGCGCAGCAGTGCACCACGAATAGCAGATTGCAGAGCTTGAATCCCGAGCTCGGCATCCTGCAAATCGGCAAGCTGGTCCTCGATATTCTTGCGCAACAGAGCACCTCTGATGGCGGCTTGCAGCTCAGTTACACCGGCTGCTGCTTCCTGGGTTGCCTCATACTGGTCGCCAACATCCCTTCGCTTCAATGCTCCCCGGATGGCGGCTTGGAACAATCTGATTCCAGGTTCATGGTGTTGGACGCGGGTCTTAGTATGCTGGACCTCGGCTCTGGCCTTTCGTGCACGCACGAGGCTCTGAATGGTGACCACCTCTTTCTCGTTGTTGCGCCAGTATTCTTCCTTGCTTCGGTGCTTCGACCGTACAATGAAGCCCCTGCTAGCACTCTGCAGATTTACCGCAAACCTCCGCATGTCCATCTTGTACTCAGCAATCTGCCTCGAGAAATCTCCTCGAATCCTGGATTGAAGGTCGACAAGCCAGTCTTCGCTATCCCACAGACCTTGCATGATACCTCCAAGACGCATGCGTTCCATGGCACCTCGGATTTGAGCCTGAAGATCGACGATAATGCTCTCATGTTCCGCAAGTTCTCTCTCAATACGTTCCTCTTCAGTCTCAACCGGCTCAGGCTCAGGCTCAGGTTCGCCAAAGTTAGCACTCATACCCGAGAAGTTCGGCATGCTGACACCGGATTTGTCCAGTCCCTTCTGCATCTCCTCCAATTCATGGTCCTCGAATTGAAGTTGGCCGACGAGGTTTCCGATTCGGAAGTCGACTACGCCTTTTCGGAAAAGGAGCCAAGACAGCGCGTGGATGCAATAGATGACCTTGGGGATATTCTTCTTTTCGTACAAGTCTACGAGCTCGAATCTGAAAAGCTCGGGTAGCTCCTGGTCGTGTAAGAACCGGAAGAAAAGCGCAATGTTATCCGAGTGGCGGAACTGTAATTTCGGATGCCGGAAAATTCGAATAGGCTTCTCGGGATTCAAAGCCTGAACGATTTCTGCCAGCGTGACACCGTCCCGCAGTGCCTCTTCGAGCTGTACGATTGGGGGGATAGGCTTATCGATGATGTCTTCAATCCACTCCTTGGCCTCACCGATATGACACAAGTACTCATATGCTTGCAAGAACTGTCTCTGCTGATCCATCCATGTCCTGGTGGCCCAGCCAGATTGGACTTTCTTGCCGCGCGTAGACATGCCTCGCTGCAGCTTACGCCGCCCATGCATACCAACAACCTCTTCATCGGGCGACTTGATGCTGAACTCTTCATCGCCACTGGCTCCGAATTTCGAGAGTGTTCGCAGCTGCGCCGTGGTTGACCTTTCCAGCCCCTTGAGGTCGGGGTGTTCCAGCTGCGGGGCGAAATGAACAGATTTCGGACGCTCTCGTGCAGGTGCTCTCACTGTATCTGACCTGGACAGTGCCATCGAATACTGTTTGGTCGGAGACGTTGACCCGTCCATTGCAGAGGTGGGAGACGCAGAACTATGGAGTTGAGGTGTACTGAATGGATCCAGGCTTTGCGATCTGTTATGTAGACGAGGCGGCGTGGTGTCTTGTGCAGGAGGAGAGTGTGGGGTCATGGGGGGGTTCGGCGACCGCGTGTGCATGCGCGGAGGCGCTGTGTCTGTGATTGGAGGAGAAGAGCTGGTCGGCGCATAGCTCTTGGAGCGGGAATGGGTCGGGGTATGAGCCTTCTCTGGTGAGGAAGGAGGGCTGGCAGGCGCATGTGGTAGCGGCCGGAGCTTCGAACGCATGGAAAGGTAGGTGCCAGCGGCATTCTGGCCCAGCGAATCTTGGTTGGTCACAAGGGTAGTATTTTCGCTAAGACCCCGCCTATGGCTCTTGAGGACGCTGCGGAAATCGGTCACACCATTAGAGCTAGAAGAAACAGTACTCGTTCGGCTTGGCGCATCGTTGGATGAGTAGCCTGAGGATCCGTTGGAGGCGGTTGACGCCTGGCGCAGCGGGCTGGGAGAGGAAGCCTGATGCGTCAGGGTGGAGCGCGGGCGGGTCGGAGAGTAGGACATGGCGATCGTATTAGTCGTAAGTCGTGAACATCACAAGCGTTCGTCGCACAACTGCCGGCCTCGAAAGCGGTGTTGACGTAGGAGAATCAAGTCGAGATGGCGGCCCGATGTGCGGTGGGCTGAGGCGCGGAAGCCCGGTCTCCGAGATGCTCGTCGCGGGGTGTCGCGAGAAGCAGGCGGGCTTCGAGATGGTAGCTGGCGCCTTCCAGGCAGAGGGTATCGTGAGGATGGTGGATATGAGAGCAGCGTGCGCAAAACGAGAAGTAGCGACAGAGAGAGCGGATGTTTGGCGGCTGCAAGGCGGCGTGTTTACTGTGGTCCGTGCGCGATCAAGTGGGCAACCAACAGGACGAGCCGCCCTGGCTAGCGGCTCTTGTGCGACATGCCCATCCCCGCGACACTCCGCAGCCTGAGACACCATCGGCGCGGCCTGCAGCCGTCATTGAGGGCGCCGCATGGCTGCAGATGTACCGTCGTCGAGGCATCTGGCATCGCACGCACAGGACGCCGACTGCTGCTCGCACCGGGGGATCGACGGGCTTGTCGCGATGAGCGGTGTGTGAGCAGACGTGGTAGGTAGCTATGACGGCAACTTGCCAGACGCGTGCGCGCGTCGGCCGCCCTCTAGCGCGCCTGGTCGCCACAGTCGACCGTGCTCACCAACACGAGCTACCGCGTCGAAGCCTCATCTGGGCGCCTCGGCAGGCCAGCTGCCAGCAGAGCCAGAGACATCATCTCGGGGAAAATCTAGAGCTGCGGCGCCGCGTGAGAAGGGCCGCGGCCGAGCATCGGTGGTGCAGCCACACGCCACAGCAGCTCTCTTATCGATTAGCGTGCGGGACGGTAGCGCCGAGCCTCCGGGCTCTCGCCGCCCTCAAATTTCTCGCGCTGCGCTGCTCCTCCAAAAGTTTTCTTCTTGGGAAAACTCCCCGGCGGCAGCCTGACCACGAGTATTGATTAGCCTCTTGCCCGAGCTGTCGTCCGTCTCTTCTTCTCTTGATACCCGCATTCTCCTTACATCAATATCCGCAACTCTCTTTCAAAATGCCCGCCGTCAACGGTACCGCGCCTGCTGAGGTGCTCGACTACAAGACCGCTCTCGAGGTCCTGAAGAACGACTACACCGAGTACGATGGCATCGATGTCCACACTCTTGTCGACTCCAAGCGGAATGGTGGTCTCACCTACAATGACTTCCTGGTCCTGCCCGGCTACATCGGTATGCTTTCCTGCCGCGCAACATCAGCTGTGCTCGCGCCTGACCATTCGATTCCAAGGCTTCCCCGCTTCCGAGGTCACCCTTGACTCGCCCATCACCAAGCGCATTACCCTGAAGACGCCCTTCCTTTCGTCTCCCATGGACACTGTCACCGAGCACAACATGGCCATTCACATGGCTCTGCTTGGTGGTCTCGGTGTCATCCACCACAACTGCTCCATGGAAGACCAGGCCGAGATGGTCCGCAAGGTCAAGCGCTACGAGAACGGCTTTATCCTTGACCCCGTCGTCATCTCCCCCAAGACCACCGTCGGCGAGGCCAAGGCCCTCCGCGACAAGAACGGCTTCGGTGGTTTCCCCGTCACCGGTACGTTTTCTCATATTCGCACCAAACGCACAAAATCTCGTGATGTTCAAACCATATTATATAACTTTCGTTCAACCGCAGCACGATTCCGTCGTGTGGGGAGAAACATGTTTTCTGATTCAGCCCATGTTTTGCTTTATCTGCATCTGTCATGGAATTAGCACATGCTGACTTGATGTGCAGAGACCGGTACTCTCCGCTCTAAGCTCATTGGAATCATCACCCCTCGTGACATCCAGTTCGAGAAGAACCTCGATCTCCCCGTCACCGAGGTCATGTCCACTGATCTCGTTACCGCCGAGACCGGCATCTCCCTCGAGGGTGCCAACGAGCTCCTCCGTACCTCCAGGAAGGGCAAGCTCCCCATCGTTGACGGCGAGGGCAACCTGGTCGCTCTTCTCTCTCGCTCCGACTTGATGAAGAACTTGAACTTCCCTCTGGCTTCCAAGCTTCCCGACTCGAAGCAGCTCATCTCTGCTGCCGCCATCGGCACCCGCCCCGAGGATAAGATTCGTCTCCAGAAGCTTGTTGACGCTGGCCTGGACATTGTCATCCTCGACAGCTCCCAGGGTAACTCGATGTACCAGATCGAGATGATCAAGTACATCAAGGAGAAGTACCCCGGCCTGGACGTCATCGGCGGTAACGTCGTTACCCGCGACCAGGCTGCTGCTCTCATTGCTGCGGGTGTCGACGGTCTCCGTATCGGCATGGGTAGCGGAAGTGCTTGCATTACCCAGGAGGTCATGGCTGTTGGTCGCCCCCAGGCCACCTCCGTCTACAACGTCACTCGTTTTGCCGCTCGTTTCGGCGTTCCTTGCATTGCCGACGGCGGTATCCAGAACGTCGGCCACATTGTCAAGGGTCTTGCCATGGGTGCTACCACCGTCATGATGGGTGGTCTGCTTGCCGGTACCACTGAGTCTCCTGGCCAGTACTTCGTCAGCCGTGAGGGTCAGCTTGTGAAGGCCTACCGTGGCATGGGTTCTATCGATGCCATGGAAGACAAGAAGGCCGGCGCCGGTGGCGCTGATGCCAAGGCCAGCAACGCCGGTACCGCCCGTTACTTCTCTGAGGGTGACAGGGTCCTGGTTGCTCAGGGTGTCTCTGGCTCCGTCCTCGACCGTGGTTCCATCACCAAGTTCCTGCCCTACCTCCAGGCTGGTGTCCAGCACTCGCTTCAAGACATGGGTATCACCAGCCTGACTGAGCTGCGCGAGAACGTCCAGGCGGGTAAGGTTCGCTTCGAGCTCCGCACTGCCAGTGCCCAGGCCGAGGGTAACGTCCACGGCCTGCACAGCTTCGACAAGAAGCTCTACTCCTAAATGCACTGAGTAGTCATAAAAAGTGAAAAGTCTTTTTCGGAGTTCTGGGGGAATCTTGGATGGGAATCTTGACTGCGTACCGCGGCGTTCAATGTGTCATAATGCACGATGAGCAACAAACCAGAGAGGCACACTCGCTTCAGATACTTTGTGCCATAAGAAAATGAAAAGAGTTGGCTATCAATCTTATTCGACCGAGCTGTGTGATTCATACGGTGACGACCATTGACATAAACCAGTGAGAGTATGTTGTACATGCATTGATGTTGCATATGCAAGTTTGTCGCCTCAGTATTTCGCCCTAGAGATATCCAATCACCGTCAACATAAAACATTGGTAACAAGACTGTATACTTACCCTGCTGTAAGACACCTGCAACTCTTTCAATATGACTTCGGCAACCCCAATACTTTTTCCGCCACATAATTCAAGCACATTTCCCTGCTCACTGGCGCTATCCTAGGCACAAAAACTTCTCTCAAATACCTCTCGACATGGAATTCACGGGCGTATCCCATCCCGCCATGGGCCATCACCGCCCTCTCACACGCCCTGAATGCCGCCTCGCCAGCCAAGTACTTCACCGCGTTCGCATACTCGCCCGTGGCGCACCCCTCGTCGTACATCTGCGCCGCCCGGTTCACCATCAACCGCGCAGCCTCGAGCTCACACCAGCTGGCCGCGAGTGGGTGCTGAACGCCCTGGTTGGCCCCTATCGGGGTGCCGAAGACGACGCGCTCGCGCGCGTACCGCGCCGCACGCCGCAGGGCGGCGAAGCCTAGGCCGACAGCCTCGCCGGCGAGCAGGATGCGCTCAGCGTTCATGCCGTGCAGGATGGCCGCGAAGCCAGCGCCCTCGGAGCCGATGAGGTCGCTGGCTGGCACGCGCCAGTCGGAGAAATGCAGTGTGTTGGTGTCGACGGCGGCGCGGCCCATTTTGGCGATCTCGGCGACGGACACGGCGGTGCGGTCGAGGGGCGTGTAGAAGAGGGAGAGGCCCTGGGAGGGCTTGGTGGTGACGATGTTTAAGGGGGTTGTGCGGACGAGTATGAGGATCTTGTTGGCATGTTGTGCGGTCGAAGTCCAAGTCTTGCTGCCGTTGAGAAGGTAGGTGGATGGGTCAGTTGGGGAGCGTGTCGCCGTGCTTTGGAGCTTGAGCGTGTCGAGGCCGGTGTTGGGCTCGGTGACGGCGAAGCATGCTGCTGGCATATCGTACCGAAACGAAGTCGATCATGGTCTTTTGGGAGAGACTTACCAGTGTCTTTACCTTCTATCAGCGGCGGGAGGAATCGTCGCTTCTGCTCTTCTGTCCCGTACTTGACGACGGGTGCTAGGCCAAAGATATTCATATGGATGCTGGATGTGGCGGAGAAACCTCCTCCCGATTCGGAGATGGTCTGCATCATGGCCACAGCCTCTGCAAGTCCGAGGGCAGAACCACCGTACTCTGCCGGCATGCATATGCCCAGCCAGCCGTCTCTGGCGATAGTCGACGTGAATTCTCTGGGCCAGCGCTTGTTGACGTCGCAGTCGAGCCAGTATTCGTCTGGAAACTTAACGCAGATCTTGGAAATGGCTTCACGAACGGAGCGTTGGGACTCGGTCAGGTCCGGTAAGTCAGGTAGATACTCCGCGGCTCTTGCGTTCAAACACCTCTTAGTCTGAAAGGAGTATGCGGATCGTTTGGGGAGTTCCCGGGGCCTTATTCCCGTAGATCCCATGCGAATCGGTAGCTACCATATTGTAAGCTGCATAGAAAATACACAAATGGCTTACTCAAGACGGCACCTTGAGACAAATAGACATAGTCATGTCTGAATGCACGCTAATCGGTGAAAAGAGTTCCTCGCCGTTCCGACAGTGGCTTTGGAAGACTAGTCTTCTTTACCAAATGGTCTGGGTTGAATGTATGATGATGACCAGCAACCTCGGGAAGACTTCACGGTGCCGCGTACAAGGCCCCGACTGCGTCCCGCGAACCCCGCAATTGACTTCGGATAACCAAACAGGGGTTAGTTACGTCTACTTATTCGACCTGTCGAAGCATATAAGCACCTTCATTTACGGCAGCGTGTATCTCTTGGCTTTCTTCTATTATTTTTTTCATAACACAGAAATCGCTATGCTGAAGAATGCGGCCGTTCGGAGGCTTCAACTCCTCACACGACACTTTCGCCCCGCGCAACCCCCTACCAATGCTCATACAAGATCTTTGGCATCAACAGTAGAGCGTAACGCAAAGACAGGCGCCCTTGCTGGTCTCAAAATCCTTGACCTCTCCAGAATACTTGCTGTGAGATCTTCCTATCCCGGATATTCAAACTGATATACTAATACTTTAAGGCACCTTTTTGCACGCAAATATTGGCAGACTATGGCGCAGACGTCATAAAAGTTGAACAAAGAGGAAGCGGAGTCAGTCATCTGTGCGAGAGAGGTCGATACTGGCTGCTGATAATTTCATGTCATAGGACGATACCAGACAATGGACAGTGGGTGGTGAGGCGGGGAAATGGAAGACTGAAGGGCCGATGTCTTTCTATTTCAATGCTATCAATCGAAACAAGCGGTCCATCACGCTGGATCTGAAGAAGCCGGAAGGCCGACAAGTGCTCCTCGAGCTAGCGAAGACTTCGGACGTTTTGTAAGTGAGCTTCTGATGTGTAAGATGAGTTGCGACTAACAGTAGATTCTAGAATCGAGAATTTTGTTCCAGGCAAAGCGGATGAGCTGGGCATTGGTTACGATGTCGTTTCGGATATTAACCAAGCTATAATATATGCCTCCATCTCTGGTGAGACTTTAGTGTCACGATCGAAGCAAGTATGTTGACAAATAAAACCAGGCTACGGCCCGTCGGGGCCATACGAAAGACGCGCGGGATACGATGCAATAGCAGCTGCAGAGGCTGGGCTGATGCACATAACAGGCGAGCCTGGTCAACTCCCAGTCCGACCAGGGCTGGGGATGGTTGACATGTGTACCGGTCTGTACCTTCACGGGGCAATTCTCGCTGCGTTGCAAGCTCGTTCCCAGACCGGCAAGGGCCAGAAGCTCGATGCATCCCTGTTCGAGACCCAGATATCGCTGCTCATCAACATTGGCGCCAATTGGCTGAACATGGGGCTTGAGGGCAAGCGTTTTGGCAACGCGCACCCAAGCATTGCTCCATACAATACTTTCAAGACGAAGGATGGTTACCTGGCAGTGGGAGCGAACAATGATCGCCAATTCAAAGTTCTTGCTGAAAGATTGGGGAAACCAGAGCTGTTGGAGGACCCAAGATTCAAAACCAACACCACACGGGTGGAACACCGTGAGGCCATCGACACCATCGTGCAGGATGTGCTCACAGAGAAGACGATCGACGAATGGATGAAAATCCTGGAAGGGAGTGGTTTGGCGCATGGCCCTGTAAACACCATCGAGCGAGCCTTTGCACATCCGCAGATTCAGGCCCGGAACATGGTGGAATCGATACCGTGTGAGGAAGCAGCCAATGGGGAGGTGAAGGTAATTGGCGTGCCAGTAAAGTTTGGCGAAACTCCTGGCAAGATTCGGACAAGGGCGCCATTCCTAGGTGAGCACACAGATGAAATTCTGAGAGAAATCGGATACTCGGATGGCGAGATTGCTGGGTTGAGGGAGAAGGCAGTTGTATAGAGCGGGGTTGAGGGGCTGTTGAGGATAGCGCATTTGCTAGTAAATCGACGTTTTTCATTTCATTGTTGAGCCGACATCGAGATGGCATAGTGAGCAGACGGCAATTGCGAAGTAAAGTAGCGCAACCGGAGAATGCGACGCAGCTGGTGGTGCTTGGAAATCGTCGTGATGTGTATGGGCTGGCGGCCTGTGCCGTGCAGCTCGGCGCTGAGGAAGTCCATGTTGCGCCGTAAATTTGCCGACGGATCGATCATTCGACATTCTCTCGCGACGACATCAAGCTTCCGCACACCCACACGCCTACCCCATCCTCTCCACTCCGCGCCAATTGCTGCGTCACCATGTTCCTCCAGCGCTCCGCCTTCGCCGTCGCCAGGCGCGCCGTCATCCGCCCCGCCGTCGCCCGCACCTTCACCTCTTCGATCGTCCGCCGTAAGCTCCTTGCTAGCAACCTTGCTCCACCGCCGCAATTGCTGATACGAACCTTTCCCAGGCGATGCCAGCACTCCCCAGGATGGCAAGCAGATGAAGAAGTTCGAGGGTTGGTCGCTCCGCGCGCGATGAGACGCGTCAATGCGCCCAAGCTAATTGGCCCTCGCCGCCGCACACAGAGATCCAGACGGAGGCCGACCTTCTTCCCCCGGGTGCCGCCCCCGGTACCGTCCCTACCGACCTCGAGCAGGCCACCGGTCTCGAGCGTCTGGAGATTCTCGGCAAGGTCCAGGGCGTTGACATCTTCGACATGAAGCCTCTGGACTCCTCCCGCAAGGGTATGCGCCATGTCTCCAATGCATCAAATAATGGGCCGAGCCCGGGCTGACAATGCCGGGTCAAGGTACTCTCGACAACCCGATCCTCGTCAGGTCCTTCGGCGAGGAACAGTACGCTGGTTGCACTGGCGTCCCTGCCGACTCCCACGTCGTCAAGTGGCTTACCGTACGCCCGGCCAAGAAGATCGTCAGGAAGATCCAATCAACTAATTGGTTATCAGATGTCCCGTGACCGCCCGATCGAGCGCTGCCCCGAGTGCGGCAACGTCCTGAAGATGGAATACGTTGGCCCCACCGATGACGGTCACCACCACGACCACCACCGTACGCATCCCAAGACGTTGACGATTCACAGCCTAATGCTAATGCAAATGCGCAGACGACGATGGCCACCACTACGAGGGCGAGCCCAAGACCATGGCCGACTTCGTCCGCCCCGAGTACCGGTAAATCGGTATATAGCGAGCAGATACCTACTCAATTGTACATTCCACGGATGGTGGTGTTGGGGCGGTTGTGAAGAGCAGCTTTATACTGCCAGGAACAGGGGACAGGGGTGTAGACTGTAGTATTTAAGCAATTCTTCCAGCAAAGAAGACGCGCCCACTTTTCTTGGACCTTTTGCTCTCTGTATCGTTTCATTATTCGTTACCTCATTCTCATGCGTGCACACGCCCGCGGGCAAATCCGCCGCATTCTGATTGGTCAGTTCTCTCACGGTGAGCTCGCGGCCTGAAACCTATATTCCGTATCCTCTAACTTAAGATCCCTTTAGCGCCATGATTCCCAGGATGCAAGCCTCCATTTCCTTCCTGTCATCGGCCGGGGGGCTTTGGTCAGCAGTAGAGCCATTCAGGTAAGCAACGCCGTTAGACTGCTTTTTGTTCTTGGGCGGGTTCTTGCCCTTTTGGCTGGGCAGAGCTGCGTCGAGCTTGTAAGTCTTACGTATCCGAGCCAGGTCGCTGAACTCGGACAAGCTCTCGTCGGTGAACGGAACGGCAGTGCCCTCGACGGAAGCGGAAAGGTGCGCTTGAACCTGATCCGCAGAAAGAGGGACGCCATCCGTGGGGACTTTGACAGCTAGCAGGGTCGTCGTCGTATCCTGGACGCCGAAGCGTCGGAAAGAGTCCGCGATCTGAGGCAATAGGGTATATCGTTAATTTGGGACTGGTTACGCGAACAAGGATCAATAGCACATGGGGGCGGTGCGTGCCACGCTGGATCGGCGGCGGAGCTCGCGCTCACGTACGTTGTTGTTTGGGCTCAGCGAGAAGACGATCTCGGAGTGCACGTTGCGGCTCTTGAGGCGCGCATTGAGCTGGTCGTTGAGGGCGCGGAAGACGGCGGCCAGGACATGGGTGGTGGACAGCAGCTGCGAGCACAGGGCGTCAGCGGCACGTGACGGGCACAGGCACGACGGAGGGAATTGTGGGAAAAATGCGCCGGTAGGCTGGGGTGACGGCATACCGCAGTGGCGTCGAGGAAGGCGTACTCAAAGGCTTGGTTGCCCTCGAGCAGCTGGCGGCGCAGGAAGGCGGCATTCCTGACATCCTTGAACAGGGCGACGTGCACCGGCGCGTGCGACAGGTGCGGCAGCGCGAGGGTCTGGACGGCGGCCATTTTGGGGTGGTCGGAGGGTCGGAGGCGGGCAGCGGGCAAGGGAGAGGAGCGCGTGCGGGGCGGATCGCTGCACAGCGCGCTGCGAGGAGATAAGGGCGGCGGGCGTTTCGCTCCTGCGGTGGGCGGGCTAATGGCGGGCTAGCACCAGGGCGCTGTCAAACGCAGTGTGGATGGCGCGGGGCGACGTCTGTGGTTAGTTAGCAGCAGCAAACAGGGCCAGGCGCGATGGCGGCGATCGCTCCCACGGCCAAGGGCGTCGGGCGGGATGGCGCATGTCGAGACGAAAAGACGCAGCCCTCGCGCGCCTCGCGCTCGCCAGGCACTCGATTCTCCCGTCCTCTTTCCGCGAGCACAGTCGCGGCGCTGCATGCCGCTGATCCCGCACGTGATCGGTCCTGGCTCCTCGCTCGGTGTCTACTACTCCTTAACGGACAAGGCTCTATTTTCGTCGCCCTCTTCCCTCCCCCAAAACGCGCCAGGCGGACCGCACGCGGGCGCAATTCCTCCTGTTGCGCCAGCCGCCGTCCAGGAGACCGCCTGCCGCTGTTTAAGAGCGCAAACTCCCCCAGCCCGGCCGGGCGGCATCTTCCACTCGGATACGGCATCTTCCATCCTCCACCACTGCGCTGGAACTGCCTGACGCCCGCGCGCATATGATGCCTGCGAAGCGCCCGCCGCCCTCGGGGGCCACGCCGGGCGGCACTCCAAAGCATCCCAAGACTGAGCACCAGAGCTCCGACGACTTCAGCAACAGCGTCAAGAAGAAACTGTCCGCCTCGACGCGCACCGGCCAGGCATGCGACCGCTGCAAGGTGGGTGCAACACCCGATCGCGTCGCACAACGTGAGCTCACAACATCTCCAGGTTCGCAAGATCCGCTGTGACGGCCGCCCCGGCGGCTGCTCGCCCTGCGTGCAGAACAACACCGAGTGCAAGACCACCGACCGCATCACCGGCCGCGCCACCACCCGTGGCCACACCGAGGCCCTCGAGTACGAGAACAATCAGCTCAAGGGCGCCGTATACGCCCTGCAGCAGCAGCTGAAGGAGCTTGGAGTCGAGCCGCGAGTCCCCTCGGGCTCGCAGCCTCCCGCGACCGGCTTCACTCCCAGTCCTCTCCCTACACAGAGCTCGTCGTGGCAGAATGGCCTCTCCGACAGCCAGACATGGGGCTCCACGCCCCCAGCGCCCTCGGCCGCCTCCTTATCCGTTTCCAATTACCCACACATGACCGACACAAACGGCGCAGCGCGCGACGGCGAGACAGCCCACTTCCGTGGCCCCAACCTGCCCACCTTCCGAGCAGGTCTCCACGGTGACAACTACCTGGGCGTGTCGTCCGCGAACTCGGTCCTCAGCCCAATCAAGGGAACGTCGTTATCTTTCTTCGGCATGGAAATTGACTTGAATGACTTCGTCCCGGACGATGTCGAGGACCTCAGCAATCCTGTCTCGTACCAGCACTTCCTTGCCGTCGCGCTGAACGCGCCTGGTTGCCCGCGGCCGAAAAAGGAGGAGCTTCCGGCAAGCTACAGCGAGTGCGCCACGTACGCCACGTGGTATTTCCGTGGCTTGCACCCCTACGCCCCGGTCTTGTACAAGCCGCATTTCATGGATCTGGTAAGGAGATTGCTGCTCGGCCTCTTACTTTTTTGCTTACTTGGTGTCAGTTATCACGCGTTTACAGCGATCCCAGCTATCAAATGACGCCCGCCGAAGAAGTCCAGGTTCAGATGGTCCTGGCTTTCATCAAGTACCAGTTTTCTGCTCGCAATGGCAATGCCGAGTCGTTGAAGCAGGCACACGCTCACTACCGCTACGCGTTAAGCTTTTTCTATACCCTGGTTAACAGCCACACCATTGCCGATGTTCAGGCTTTGGTGATGATTTGTCTTCATCTTCGTAACTTCCCTAAGCCCAGCGCCACTTGGCTTATGTCCTCTATGACCTTCATGATTTCCGTTGAATTGGGCCTGCACAGGTCCGCAAAAGCTTGGACAGACCTGGGACCGAAGAGGGATCCCGTTGAAATTGAGACGAGGAAGCGCGTCTTCTGGGTGCTCCACGGGTTGTACGTTGCGCTCTGCGGAAGGCTGGGCCGGCCTATGCCTCTGCGTATGGAGGATATTGACGTCGAGTTTCCGGAACCCATTCACGACTACCTCCCTTCGGAAACCAACCTGAGCGAGTTCCGCAAGTGCTCGTTCCACGTCGGCCTTCAGGTCATCCGAATCACGACGATCCACTCTGAGATGTATAGTACGATTCACGCAGTGAGACAAAATCCTGAGTACTACATCACGCATCTCCGAAGACTGGAAGACGAGCACCGCAAATGGAGAGAGCAGATACCCATGGAGCTGAGGGAAGGGTCACGGGCGGATTCGGAGGATTACATCTTCTCACTTTACGTCCAGTTCTGGGATCATGAGCTCAACCTGATGCTTCATCACCCGGCCATGTGTCGTTCGAGGGATCCCGAGCTCATCAACTCCAACATGACCATTTGCCTCCAAGCTACGACGAAAATGGTTCGCTGTCTTGATGAGCTGAGGAAATACAAGTGTCTGGATGCCCCGTGGGTGAACTGCACGGCCTATCTAGCGGCCATGTTGACTACCCTCTTTGTGTACTCGCACCGCAAGGACGAAATCACTTCTTCAGAGATGGCCAAGCTCAAGGGCGAGATGGACATGTGGTGCATGATCATGGACGAGTGCGGCACGATTCTTGGTAAGAGGCAAAATTCCGGTTGTGGTCCCGTGAAGCTAACACGCGTGCAGGGTCTGGAAAGCGGCTCGAGAAAGCCTGCCGATCGATCATCGATCATACGCTCTCGAACATCAACCATCATCTTGCCAAGAAGACGGCGTCTGCAGCTTCAGCAGTTGCAGCCAACGTGCTGAAGACGGAGCCAGATGTCTCGCCACGCCAGGAACCCACTGCCACGACACCGTATCCTAATCCCAACACGTACGCAACTGCATATAGTCATACAGTCAACGGACACGCCAATGTTCATAAGCCTTCAACTGGCGGATACCTACCTACGGAAGATCACTCGGTGGCTCAGCCGTCGAACCATTATTCCACGGTGCAAGCGCAATATTCCTATCCGGACAGGACCCAGACGGGGATGTCAACGTACCAGAATGGCACATCTGGCTACGATCAAACCCAGTACAGCGTTCCGGGATCCGACATGAACGCGGTGCATGCAGCAGCGGCGGCTTCAGCAGCAACGCAGGACTCCAGCGCAGCTTTCACGTATCCACCAGGAAGCCACGGGTCGTTTGGGCAAGCGCAGAACCAGAGTGACGCATGGCGGCAGTGGATGATGAGCAACGTTGGACCGCAAGATTACCACCATGCCTCGACGCTAATGGCATTGGGTCACACGACTGGGCGTGACAGTGCCGTGTCAACCGGGCCGGAGGACAATCAAGGGATTCCCGCAGATATGCACGCCATCGCGGTCAATGGGCTCCACTCGCCTCACCCTGCGGTGAGCGCGGCAGCAGTGGCACAAGCAGCGCATTCACAGGCACAGCTGTGGCCGCTGATGCTCTTCGACATTGGTCAGCAGGGCGGACCAAACGTGACGCAATGAAAGAGGGATGTTTCTTAATAATGTGGTTTCTAGAGGGGAGGATGTCTGACGGGACTCCCTCAGTGATTCCGGTATACGGCGCAAAAGTTCAGGTCAGCGAAGTTCCCACGGGCTATAGCCGAGCCCTTTCTTTACTATTTCCAAGCTCTTTTGTACTTTTGTATACTCTTCTACTGATTCCCTGTCGCGGTGATATCCGACAGTTTTTTTGATTACCCCTTTGTGTCTGTAGTAGACCTGGCGGCCGTTTTGTTCTCGTTTTCTTTTCTCTTCTTTCCTTGCCCGCTGGGCGACTTGTAGCTCGATACCGCTGTACTCTCATGGCATGCAAGGCCGCGGATTTCCTATAGATGGGTTTACTTTGGTGGAACCGCCTTTTTTGAGAATTCTGTGTTTTGTTTTTTTTTTCTCTTGATCCCTCGCCCATGGGCCGAGGATAGCGCATCTAGCCGTTGGCAGAGGTGAATGGGAAAAGCTATTCAAATTTGGGTTACGAGACCCAAGACCAAGCTAAAGTGCGGCCTAGAACATGAATGATCTCCTGCACTAAATGGATCACCTGGTCTTCCCGACGACCGACAGCCAATGGGTCAATGGTTGACTGCGAGCGAGGGCGCGTCAGCGCTAGAAAGTTTAACACACCATTACAGGTTGCGGGGAGGGTGGGCATGCATTTAGGCTAACAGTATTCGTCTCATCAATCACACCACCGGCTCGGAAACCCGCATACCAGGTAGCCGGCTCTGTATGCAGGGCGGCTATGTGTCTGGAGGTCATCGTCACGAGTACATCGCAGTTCCCCCCGACGAGCACGAGAGAGGCAGGACAAGGCGTCGTTTGATTATGGCCTGGGCGTTGTGGTGGCGTTCATCCTCCCAGTGGCACTTCGCGTGGCGGAACCATCTCCTTCCGCGATCGTCCCTGGCGTCTGCGCCCTTTTCCTGGAGGCGAGCGAGCGATCATCCCCCCCAGACCGGCAGGTGGCGGCACTTGGGCTCGCTTCTGCATCACCGCGAGCGCAATCACTGCGACGTACTCGTATCTTGCTCCGCACGCCTGGCTCGATTCGATATCCCCCCTGGACCCATTCACGCGGAGCTCCTTCCCCCTGCTGACAGCCGGGCTTTTTTTTTTCTCTTCCTTTTCGGAACGACTGGCGCGTGGGACCCCCGCTCACTGTGGGGCCGTCCGAGTCTAATGCCGACGTCGTTGTTCAGATTAGGCCTGCGATCTGGCCGCCTTTCGCGCCAAGTGAGTGGTTTTGCGGCTGAATACGAAAAGGAACGCCGGGCGAGATCTCTTGAATCAGCGAAGGGGGCTCCATGCACGCGCGGGTAATTGCCCCGGGAGGAATGGATGCTCATTTTGCAAACACCTCGCTGGCGCGTCGCTATGGCATTCAACACGGACGAATGACGACAGCGTTTTAAAAACGCCCTTTCTCTCCAGGCCAACCAATTCCGGCCGCGTCAAGCATGGAGACCCGTGTCCTCGCCACGCCTCTTTTCTTTACATGGGTGGAATGAGACGGGTCCATCGGTGACAATTTTACATGACCGACACCTTCCGTTTCCGGTAACGCTTTTCTTGTTGACGAGATATCTTTTAAGTTGACCGTGCTGCGCGACATCAGTCAAAGAATCAACATTGATAAGGAGAGAGAGAGGAGAAAGCGCGTGTCTGCCGCAAGTGACACACTGTCGCCCGCAAACGTTTCCTCACTCTTTGCTTTTCCCGCGAGAGAGCTTGTGGCGCGTGCCGACCCAGAACTCGTCGACAAAATGGCGCCACTGTCGGCAGCCACGGCGGCGCTACTACGTTTGTTGTGGCCGTAGTTAAAAACGCCCCGCGCCGCCATCAAAGGACCCTCGACGCCCAAAGAGGACACTATGGGCGCCTCGAGGCGCCGGCCAGCTCGCCGACGTTCGTGACGAGACAACCGCCGGTCAGGAACCGGACGACGACGCGCGGCGACGGGGGTTTGGCTAACATTTTCGCTCTAATATGCTTTCCCTATCTATCCCGCCGCCCCTAATAATTTCCCCTTCGCACGGCGGAAAAAAGAGAGGGGACGAGCCCAGAGCGTTATCGTGCGCGCTACGCCGTCGCCCGTTGCTCGGTGGCTAATCTTTCCGCCGCGGATTGGCTCCGCTTTTCCGACAATGTCGGCATTACCCAAGCAGTTAGCTTGAACGGGCCGGGTGATTCACTTCAGGGAAATGCAGAAGGTTTGTAATTTTTTTTTCCTCGCCTCGTTTTCCACGGTCTTTTTTTTTGTGTCCCTGAATCTTATGCTGTGGAGCCGAGTCCTCTCTCCTTTGCTGTTTGGCCCAGTGTGATCGCATTCTACATTGTAGCCCACCAGGCGTTTCCCTGAAAAGCGTCTAGAAAGTTGTACGTGGAGATCGCTTAGGCTCTCGATCTATTTGCGGGGTCCCGCAGAGCTACACGGGTGGCAATCCCACAAAAGGAAAGCATAAGACCCTGTCCGGGGAGGCGGGAGCGATTCATGAAAGATCGGCCAGAAGCAAATCAGATGACGACATTATAGACGCATCCGACTAGGTAGGTAATAGTGATATATGTCAGACATCACTGAGCTTTCGAGAAGTATCAGGTACTGCGGCTTTACTAAATCTGAGTAACCTCAGCGATTGCCATCGATAACTTGGCGGACGTTACTTCGTAAATGGTTCTTTGACCCTAGAGAGTGATGACGGCATGTTCCCAGTAGAAAGAAATCGTCTCCTCCTTCAGCATCATGCTCGTCGCCGGCACGAGCTACGGCCAGAAGAAGGGTTCCCTGAGGAAACAATTTCCCTTTAAAATGGGAAAGGCCGGGTTGGCAGTGGAAAGACCAAAGCAAAAAGGTACAAACAATATCACCGCTCCATACGTACCGGTCCATAAGTACACCTCTCCACACTCTGTCGTTTCTCCCTATCTCCCTGCTCTTTCCACTACAACTGAATTTCCGGTTCTCTCTTCTTCACCCATATCTTCGCGGTCGGGTCCGGCACCCACTCCGACTCCCTCAAACTCTTAAGCGGAGGCTCGCCCTCGAACTTCCAGTCGTACTTGAGCAGCAGGTGTGCCATGGCGATCTTGATCTCATTGCTAGCAAAGAAGCGGCCGGGGCAAGCGTGTTGGCCTTTTCGGAAGTGTTAGTAACGGGCGACTGAGTAATGGTATGACTTTTTTTAATATGGAAGGGTGATTAGCACCAAAAGAAAGAAATAAAACAGCCACTTACCATGACCGAACCCTAGATGCTCGGGGGAGGTGGTAACGAACTGCCAGCGGTGCTCATTCCCGGGCTGCTCGCGCTTTTCGAGGAAGCGGCGGCCATCAAACTTGTCGGCGTCCGGCCCATAGAAGTCTGGATCCTTCATGGGCCAGGTCGGCAGGGCGAGGTGCGTGCCGGCAGGCAGATACGTGCCGTCGGATAGGGTGACTGGGGTCGTCACCTTACGATTCATGGCCACTGGTCCAAGTGGATTAGACGATATACCGAGCAAGATCACGGTCGACAACGGAAGAAGAGGTGTACATGAAAGTGTGGTGGTAACTTACACGCGCCGATGACGTGCAGCCTCTGCGCCTCTTTCATGCAGCTGTCCAGCAGCTTCATCTTGTACAAGCTCGTCTTCTTCCAACCGCCATCGTCTGTAATGATCTCGATGATCTCCTTCCGCAAGTCATCGATGTACTCGGGGTTAGCAGTGAGTTCCCACAGCAGCGACGAGATCATGCCGGAGGTGGTGTGGATGGCCGCGAACGACAGGGCCACCTGGGCGAGCGGGATGTCGTAGGGTTCGTCCCGCGCGTGCTCGTCCATCCACTCGATGGCATCAGCAGCCTTGTGCGGCTTCTCGCCGGCCAACACCGCCTCACGGCGGGCCTGCTTGCGCGCGGCGACCTCGGGCTCGATGATGCGGCGCGCCTCCTTCATCTTGGCCTGTAGCTTCCCGAATTCGGGCGAGAAGGCGTGCACCAGGCGCCGCATGAAGGGCGGCCACCAGCGCAGGTCGCGCGCCGCCTGGAAGCCGTCGATGGCGTACGTCAGCGACAGCGTCAGCCACTCTTCGTTGCGGCAGAGGGGCTCCCCCAGGAAGACCTTGGCCGAAAGGCGGGCGGCTATCTTGGCCGCGACGGGGACCCATGTCACGCCGGTCCATTCTGTCGTCACGTCGGGCAGGAGAAGGTTGAGGACGTAGGTCGTCTCCTGAGAAAGGCTTTCGGTGATGCTGCCTGTTGATTCCGAAGCTTTAGACAGTGGTCGATTGCTTATGATTCGGGGAAGGAGCAGATGTTAAAGTGTATCATCTGGAACACTTACCCAGTGATTGTGTCAGATTCTGCCGAATTGATACTCGAAAGACGTCGTGCTCGGAAACGCCAGCGCCAAATGGCTCCAGTCCTTTGTACCACGGTAGGAAGACCTAAAAGATAAGAATGTCAGCACCCAAAAGAAACATCAGGTCAGCATTAATGAAGTGACTGATGGGGCAAGGAAGCTATATTCTTACCCGCTCAACGGCCTGCATGAACGATAAACGATCGTCGTTGCGGATCTCCTGCGCCATCTGCGGGGACAGGATAATAGTCGGGCCTGTGTCTGCAATGACCTGGAAAGGCTTCCCGTTGTACTACCATGTTGATCAGTTGGTGCCAAGGATTACGGGCTTGAGCCCTTTCAAGTGTTGTGGGAAAGAGCCAATGGGGAGTCTCGGCAAAAGAGTGTGGAGCGGGGACGTCAGAAGTGCTTACTCTCTTGTACCCATCTTTCAAGATTTCGTTGGCATGATTGATCATGCGCTCCTTTGCTTTCGTGTTGAGCCACTCTCCCTTTTGCTTGCCAATGAGGGGGAACCCTGGGTATGGTTTTTCGTCTTGGACCAGATGCCAGAGCAGTGCGAGGAGGACAGTCGCAGCACCGATGAGATAGGGGAAGCCAACCTGGAAAGGTTGCTCGGACTCGAATAGGGCCGTCTGTATAGCCATGTTACAGGTATCAGGTGAAAGAAGCTAAGAACCACAGTAAAGCAAGGAAGATGAGGAGTGAGAGGGGAAGAAGAGCAGTTGTGGAAGAGAAATGATGCAGATAAGAGCAATTGAGCGGTAGGTATACATACGAAAGACCAATCATACAGAGGCAAACAACTCATGCAAGGCACTTGTAAGCTCACTCGCATAGTAGAGTAAAAACGGAATGGCAGTGTCATCCTCACCGCAACGCATTTTGCCGTTATGAGCAACAATTAGACGTGTGCTAGCTTGAACTACACAGCAACAGTCATTATCTCAAGTATCGATATCGTATTGCGCTGTCGCTCATTGAAGGCTTGACCGCTGGGGAGTTTCGTGAACGCGAGAACAACAGTAGTCGCACCACCTTGATTGCGCGTCTTGCGTACATTGTAGCCTGCTTGATGAACCCATTTTTGCCACCACAAACCGTGTTGGTTTGAGTCTAGGCAGTAAGAAGGGCGTCTCTTGCTGCTTGCTCCTCAAACCCGTCAGCATGGCTGCCTGTGTCCGGGCAGCCACACGCTCGAGGTCTTACAGAGGCGTCCGGCAGGATTGTTGCCGTCGTGTGTAGAACACCTCTTTCATTGGAGTGCCGTCATCGCGCGTAGGAAGTAGCTCGTTGTGGGCGCCGCCCATTCTTACTGGACTGTCAGCGTGGCACCGTTCGGCAGTATACTTGGCACCACAGCCATAAGCGCCATCTGTTTCACGGTTATCAGTGCAAGCTCAAAGGATTTAGCCGATATCTTCAAAGGTAGTAATATGGATGGTGTGAATAGAGTACAGAGAAACTAAAGTATGATATTGTCGTTCGCTTTCGCACTGAGAGAGGCAAATGTCGCAACTAACCTTCGGCCCGGATATGCGTGCAGCATGCTGCATTGCCGTAGCCGAACAGCTTTGGTTGGTGGCTGAGGACGTTCGGCTCCGGTATTGGCTACCGTAGGATTGCCAAGTCTCACAAGCAATCGGGGAATTGATTTGTCATGCTTCAAAGGGTATCATTTCTATTTAGAATTAATCATTAAATAAGTTAGTGGACGTGACCATGCAATGGTCTCTACTTCGTGCGTGAAGAAGGGTGGACCAGATCGAAAGTGATGTCCTCCTTGCCGCCCGCTTCCTCCAGTTGTTCTTTTTCAGCATTAAAACTTTCTCCCCTTCACACCTGCTCTGGTCCCTTCGCCGCTGCCGGAGGGGCACGTGGCGCTGGGCTGTAGAATTCCTGGACAGTTGGAAGAGAAGACCCCATTATTGGCTGACCCCTCCCTTGAGGATGGTAGTAGCCTGCCACCATAGCCGGCGCCGGTCTGACAAGCTGACCAGTTGCGATCATCTCGTTGATAATCTTCTCGGCGGCCAATCCAGCCATTTCCGTTTGCTTTGACCTTCTTCGGCGGTGCGTGTCGACACATGCCCAGACAAAGGTGATGAAGTGCAGGAGGGTGCAAATCCAGGTGAAGATAACGCCGACCAGTATGACGCGGCCGCGATACTCGGCTTCGTAGAAGGCTTCCTTTGTTTCGCAGCTGGACCAGCCCGGGCAATCCGACGGCGAGTAGGTGCAGGTGCGGTCGGAGGGATCGTAGATGTAATCATTGGATTCGCAGTAGATATAGCCGGGGTAGGAAGTGCTACTGGAGCCGTACCGGTCATCGAAGCTTTCAGGGTCGGTGGCTCCGGTGTAGAAGTATCCCAACAGGCCAAAGAATCCAGTGACAATGAACGTCAGCCAAAGAACGAGGTCCACACCAACGGCCACACCAGGGTGGACAGGGCGCTTGGAGCAGAACAAGATGACGACGCAAATGATGTTGAAGATGAGGGAGCAAATCAGCTAGAGAACAAATTAGTAAGTACGTCGCGCAAGGGATGCATTGGGATGCTTACTGGAATGGAGAGCGCTCCGACCCAGCTGCCGGCGTCGTAGTAGTAATGGTCATAGGACGACCTTCCTGCTGCCACGCCTGCCCAAATCAAGGTGCTCATGCCAACGATAGCGCATCCGATGGTGATTAAACGAAGGGCGAGCTTCCAGGGCCAATGACTTTCTTGGAAGCGAAACCGAGGTAACGTGCGCCCTTCTTGTCCAGCTCCATCTGCGGGATTGGGAGTGGCATTAGGGTTCGGAACATCCGAGGCCGGGGCAGCCTGAGGAGCAGTAGAGGTGGAGCCGGAGCTGGAAGCAGCTTGGGGCATTGGCGTAGTAGAGGTCGAGGTTGCGGGAGGAGGAGTTGGACCAGAAGCCGCAGGTGCTGTCGCGTTTGCTGGAGTTTCCGCCATGGTGGTGAAAGGTGTTACTAGGAATCGCAAACAACCAACGACAGATGGGCGTCGCACATAATAAAGTAGAAACAAAAAGGTGAAGTGCAGGCAACAGAGGGTCACTACGGCCGGCTGGCACCCCAGCCGTGGCCAGGTTACGGCCACTCCGCCACTGGTGCCTGGCGCTACCAGGCGCGAAACGGTCGCATGGCCTACGCCACAGGCACCGGTGCTCCACTACAGGTAAAATTAGTGAAAATAAGTGTGCGCAGGATTCGCTCTTTGCAACCGGAAGGATTGAGATGGGAAAAGCGAGAGCGAGGCGAGATTTGGCTTCAGGCAGGGGCCCGGCGCGGTACTATTTACGGTGTGCCAAGCTCAGCTGGACCGGTCGCTAGGCGGCGTGACTAGCCGTGTTGGGTCAATTGTATAGCAGTCAGGCCGCCCGGTGGCGCGTGGGCTTTGTGGTGTGAGTGGAGGTGACCGAGACTGGAACAGAAGGAATCGACCCTGGTTGGCCGGGAATTGACGCAGCAACGGAAATTGCCCTAAGCTTGTAACTAAGCTTGAACGACGTCCATCTGTACCACCCCTTCACCTCTTCTCCCCTTCGCCTCTCCCATTCTTGTCTCTTACCGCACTCCAGTAGACTGCTCCCGCTAACCCCGCAACCGCCACCCCCAGCGCCCCGGCCCCGTAGTATGCCGGCTTGAAAAAGCCCTTCTCCAGCAGCCTCATATTTTCGAAATATCTGGTCGTGCCATAGCCAATGCAGCCCGTCCCCGTGCCCAGCAGCGCGCCCACCAGCACGCTCGACGACTCTCGGAACGAATTACCTCGTCCACCATCCCTCGGTTCGCGGCCGGACGTAGGAGCCTTTGATGCTGTTGCTGCGGTGAGCAGCTCGGTCAGGTCGAGCTGCGAGAAGCGCTCGATAGCGATGCCGAGCGCGATGAAGCCGAGGCCGGTGCGCAGCCAGGCGAGGAACGTACGCTCCGAGGCAAGGTGGTCGCGCGCTACCGAGCCCGTGTTCCTGTAGACGGGCGTGCGCAGCAGTAAGACCCTTGAGGCGTGCATGGCCAGCCGGATTTCTTGGGAAGTTCTGTGACGCGGCTGATCGATGATTGATGGACGAATGGGATGGATGTCTGGATGACGTGAAATTTTTCTGAGAGGGGGATCATATGGCTGACCAGGTCGCCGACCTGGGAATGACGGGCGCCAAGGATGAGCCGCGCATCCGCGCTTAGCCCGCGCGTAGACGGATGAACTACTGATCACACTGCAAATCATTCTTCACCGACATTGTTGTCGCCGAGATAGACTGTCGAGGATACGGTTGCTCCCGTGTTTCAGAATTCACACCGGTGATTTGAAAGTCCTATCAATAATTCCACCCTTTGATCACACCGTCTACATGCAATAGGTCTATCCTAGGAATGCCTGTGCAAATCTCTAACACATAGGTATCGCGCTTGCGCCAAACCTAACAATGAACCACGTCTATCACAGCCCCGGCCATTCTCACGGATGCCCGTGGACCCCGCATTCTCTTTCTGCAATCCCACAGTCCTCGCCTTGCCAACAGTCTACACCCACAGCCTGCAACCTACTTCTCCACTCGCCACTTCTCCCCCTTCGCCTAGCCAGCCTCGCCCTTTCACCAGATTCCCGGAATGAGCCTCCAACGTACAATGTTGCAGTACTTGGTCCACTGCTCGCCATACTTGGTGCGGCAGCGCGCCTCGTCTCTGAAGCAGCGATGAACGAGAATGCACGTCATGAAAATGGCGTAGGTCCACGGAATGAGGTTTCGCGTCCCGCAGACGGCACACATCGAGTAGGAAAGCATGAGATCGCCAACATAGTTGCAATGGCGCGAAATGCCCCACCATCCTATCGCATGTTAGCTTAAGCCGCGCGCTCATGACGTAGACCGGAATGTGTCCAAGTAGTAGCTCAAGAGAAGCTCGAGTAGTGTGGAAAAATGCTCTGACTTACCCGAAAGCAGCAGAAGAGTCTGGTGATCCCGCCCATCAGCCGTCTTAAATCGGCAACGCATAACCTTTGCCTTCTTCCCCCAAATGGTGCATTCGCCATTGGTGCGGCGCACGATGTCTTTCTGGAAATTGACTGAGCGGAAAAGCGCATAGCCCGAGACTCCAATCGTGAAAATCAAGGCTGCTGCCAAAGGAGAGAGTTGAACCGGATACCGGGCGAGGTACTGCGACTGCAGAGTATACATAGTTGGCAGCCAAACAGCAGAGCCCCATGCGAGGTAGAAACCGAAGTGGTCGTGGCAGATATCGATGGTGCGGAGATACCTTAGGACGTTGAGCAATCGAGCCATTACTTTGGACTTTTGGACACACTTACCAGCTCTCGTTGACAAAGAAATCGACCACGTACATGACGTGGAAAATGTCTACAATGATAATCGAGTTGGTGATGTAGCCGTGCTTTTGGTATTGCAGCGCGGTATAGGACAGGTCGCTTGGGGGCTCATTAGTCTCTCAAAAGGCCCAATGCTGGAAAAGAAAGCCTACATGAGGGTCCAGGCGATGATGCCAGGACGACCGTTGTGAAAGAGCTTCCAGTCCCAGGTCTTGCCAAATCGCGGATTGAACTCAATGCCCATGAGGAAATCGTACAGAGCAGATCCTATGCTCGTTTAGTCCTTGACATATTCGCTTGGAATTTTGAATATACTTACCACTGAAATTGCGGTCCTCGGCGTAAGATGGGGCGTAGTGTGCTTTCAAGTAGGCTACACAAGACAACGCGTAGCCATAAATGTTGTAGATGACAACCAAACCTTCCCAGTTTTTGGCGATGAAGGCAGGATCAAGAACACCGGAGAATACAGCCACAGCGAAGAGGGCCACTGTAATCTGCCAGGCCAGCAATCCGTTGGTGTGGTATTCGAGCAGGTTGCCGGCGGCAGTCAGCTGGCCCGTGCTTCTTCCGGGCAAAACTGTGTAGAGAAAAGCTTGGAAAAGTATCCAAGCAAAATAAGCCAAGCTCGTGCGCAGGTCGGCCGCCGGGGCAAACTGCTTGACAAACGTGGCCAGACCAAGCTCTTGCAGGGCGAAGGCAGCGCCGAAGAGCGAGCCATTGAAGTGCTCGAGGGCGATCCAGGTCAAAATCACTAGCGAGGGAGGGACGGTGATCATGAAGACGCATGCTGCGCCGGAGAGCCACGACTTGCGCTTGCGGCGCCAGGAGAGGTTCGCCGTTGCAGAGGCGTGAGGAGGGTGGGTGGAGGAGCGTCGGCGGAGGTCCTGGGCATCTTTAGCCTTGAGCCTTGACTTGGGCTTGTTGCCGACAACGGCACCAAGCCATTGCCAGCGCTCAGGCGTGGTGGCAAGTTCGATATCCATGGGAGGAAGCGTTGAGGAGAGGGGGTGTCTGTGGACGCGGGACCCTTAAGCGGAAGAACAAGCCCACGCACTCGACTCATGTGGCGCTAAGGAAGTCCGGCTTCGCCTGCCTGACGCAATTGACAGACTCAAAGAGGTATCCTAGGGACGGCGGAGCTGGGTGGTTTAGGTTGAGCGGTGTGCGGCTTTCACATGGGGCGGCGGTCCGGCGCTTGGCTGGAATGCAGGCACCCGAGCGCACCGCGGCGAGGCAAGAGCGAGCCTTGCCCCGCAACCGGCACGAAGCTGTCTCGTACACAGTTGAAGAAGCTTGCGCAGAGCCAAAAGAGCGCGCCGCCATGTATTGCGCCGCCTGTGATTGGTTGCCGAGCGAGCCATTGACGCGGTCCGAGGCGCAGGGCAGTCCAGGGCGCAGCGCCCAGCCGAGCCCGGCTCAGCTCAGCTCGTCTGCAAGGCGAGCGCTGTTGAGCAGCCCTTGGCTCCCCGCAAGAACAGAGTACGTGGCCGGCTTCGTGATGACCTGCTCCCCGCCGCAACACCTCCAGCGACGAAGCGTGTGCGACCATGGCTCTGCGACGGCTGGCGATCGCTCTGGCCGCGCTGGTCTCGAATGCGGGTGAGTCGTTTTGAGTGGACCCCCGGCCAAATCCCCACGCCGAAACGCGCACTGACGGCCCGTTTCGACAGCTGCAAGCACTGCCCTCGACTCACGACAGGCCTCACAACCCAAATCCGCAACCTTCGTTTCCAGCGCCAGCCCCTGGGACGCTAATTTGACCTTTTCGCTCACGGCCACCAACACCGATGATGCCGTCGATCTCTACCTCCATCTCAGCGCGCCCGACGACTGTCAATGGGTTGCTGTCGGCGTCGGCGCCCGCATGAAGGACGCTCTGATCTTTCTCGTGTACCACGATTCGAGCGGTAACAGTACGGCACCCCCTCGTGACAACCACCGGTTATGTCCTGACTGTATCAGACGTTACCTTTTCTCCGCGTGTTGCCACTGGCGAAAGTGAGCCCACTTACCGCTCCTCTATCGCTTGCTCCGTGTACCAGGGAGAAGATACTCCCCGTGTTGGCATTCTGGAGGACCCTGACACCGACGGGGATCGCTACTCGGTCAATGCTCACTGCAGGGACGTCAAATCATCCGTACCGGAGCTCGCTCTAGATCTAAGCTCCAAAACACAGCCCTTCATCTATGCCATCGGACCCTGGAGCCATGGCCTGTACTCGGATTCGAAGAGAGCGGGGATCCGCCGCCATCGATACTATGGCGGGTTCACCATGGACATGACGGTGGCGACTGAACCCAATGCCACTGACGCTGGCAAGGCGTTTGGCACGCAGATGAAGGACGCCACTCCGCGAGATGGACCGCATGAGGACGATGGCAGCCGCGGATCCGGCACACACGCCGTATTCATGTGCGGTACCTTCTTGTTCATCTTCCCGATTGGCGTCGTCCTCCTACGCAGCTTCGAGCGGGTCAAGTGGCACGCCGGTACACAGACGGGAGGCTTGCTAGTAGTGTGCGCCGGCGTTGGCCTTGGCATCTGGGTCAGTAAATTTTATAACAAGGTAAGTGGTCTGGTCGTTAATGAGCAAACTTAGTTCTTATCTAGGATGCCGAGGCGGAACTAACTCCTTTAAAGTCCAAGAAGTTCGACTCTGTCCATCAGATCATCGGTCTGATAGTCTTTGCTCTGCTGTTCGTCCAGCTTGGCCTCGGATGGTTCCACCATCGCATCTTTATGCGTTCGCAATCACCGACGATGATGGGGACTATCCATCGCTACCTTGGCCCCTCGGTCCTGGGCGCCGGCTTGGCAAACGGTTTCATCGGATTCCGATTTGCGGGCGCAGGACGAAGCAATATCATTTACCTGCTGCTTGTGCTGGTCATGTTCGTGATCCTGATTGTGGGGGTGTGGTATAAAAGAAGAAAGGATAGGAGGAAAGCGGCGGCTGCACACTTGGGGCCTCCAGCGGGGCCGCCTCCGCCTGCAAACACGGCGCCTCCGCCCTACAGCGGGCCGGATCCATCAGCTCGTGCGGGCGCATACGCAGAGTCGCAGGCGTCGCGCAGCGACATTGCGCTGGGAGACATGGGGCAGAACAACCGGGACTTGTATTATGAGCAGCCAACGCAGCCCAGGGCGATGGTGTAGTTGACGGTGCGACCGGGGAGACGGGCCCGAAAGGGTCGGCGAGTCGGAGGTTGCATGACTCGAAGTAGATTGCCGGATGCGTAGACAGCATAACGACGGGTCCACAGCAACAGCATACTAGCAAATTTGTCTGCCTCTGCGTTACTAAAGAAAGACAAAGCGGCACAAACCGCGTGATCGCCGACCTATTCCTCCGTCCCACCGCCGCTCGCAAACCATACCTAGAAGACAAAGGAGGGGAAGCAAGTCAGCCTGCCGTGGCATGTGAGGCTCCGCCATCAGGCACTGCTTACCTCAGGCAGCAGTCTAGACGCAACTCCACACGGAGCTGTCTTCGCCGACCGCCCGTGTCCGAGGGCAGCGCAGACGGGCCGCCGACTGCAGGGTTGCGGCTGGTGCGTTCATCTGCCGGCGGGAATATCATTGGGTCCCGCGCGCATCGTGCGTCAGCCCAGCACGTTCAGGGCAAGCTGCTGGCGGTGACTCTTCGCGGGCCTGCATGGCTGCTTACGAAAGCGCCACGCCGGGCTGACTCTGCGCCGCCTTTTATCAGATGCGGGCGCCCTCTGCCCTCCAGACACCGACTCTGCCCGCCCTAGCGCCAACTAGTCTTGAGCTTGAGTGGCGGTTATCTGTGGAGAGGGAGGGGCCTGTCTCCGTTTCTCAGTCATCCTCAAATTCTCCATCTCGTGCGCCGCCTCGTCTTCTCCTCTCCACACTGCCCGGCCCTCGTACTCGGGCCCCGTGTCGTTCCTCGCTCTTTGACTCCGCGCCTGCCCTCGTTACCACCCGCTCGCAGCCCAACGCGCCGACCGCGCCGGACTCCATGTGAACGCCATGTCGGCCGATTCCACTGCAATCAACCAGCTGCTCCATACCCACAGCAATGGCTCCGACCACCGCGTATCCAAACCCTCTCCGCCCACGCACAGCTATAGCATCAGCAGCGCCAGCGGCAGCTCGGCCCTGAATCCTCGTTCTTGCGTTACGTGCCGCCGGCGGAAGGTCAAGTGCGACAAGAAGCACCCGTGTACCAACTGCACCAAAGCTCGCATCGAATGCATTTTCCCCGCCCCGGGCCGCGCCCCGCGCAAGGCCCGCAAGCCCCCGGATGCCGAGCTCCTCGAGCGCCTGCGCAAGCTCGAGGGCATGGTCAAGACTCTCGGAGGAGCTGCCGTGGAAGATGGAAACGCACAGCCAGCCGAGGAAGAGAAGGCCCCCGCGCCGCCGCCGCCGCCGCCGAAGCGGGAGCCGCAGGTCTTCGTCGGCGTGAAGAAGTCGCATGATCCTGACAGCGAAGAGTGCGCCAAGTACAGATACCTTCCTCCCGAGGACAAGACGATCGCTGGCCTGGAAACAAGATTCGGGAGGTTGGTCGTGGATGAAGGCAGGAGTCGCTACATCAACAGTAGCTTCTGGGCCAGCTTGAACAACGAGGTAAATAGGATCGCTGCAGAAGAAATCAGCGCGCACGGATACTCACTTTCTGCTCTCCAACAGGTCGAAGACATCAAAGAACTGCTCACGCACGACAGCGACGAAGAGGAAGATCATGCTTCGCCTGAGTCATTTACCTCGACCGCACATCAGGGATTCCTTTTCGGGTACAGCTCGATCAACGTCGACATGCTCGCTCTGCACCCTCCCGAAAAACATGCCCATCGACTCTGGGCTCTTTTCAAAGAAAACGTGGACCCGCTGGTCAAGGTCTTGCATATTCCCACCATCGAACCCAAAATCATGTCTGCGATTGAGAATAGGGACCACATTCCGCGTAGCATGGAGGCCTTGCTCTTCGCCATCTATTACGCCGTCATCACAAGCTCATCTGCAGAACATTGTGAAGATTGGTTTGGCGAGAACAAGACGAACCTGCTTGCAAAGTATCGATTCGGCCTGGAGCAAGGCCTTGCCCGCGCAAATTTCCTTGCAACAGATGAGTTCATGGTCCTGCAAGCATTCGTTATCTTCTTGATTTGTCTGCGCCGCAACGAGCCTGCCCGGATGATATGGACTTTGACAGGACTGGTCGTGCGCATGGCCCAAACTCTTGGCATCCATCGCGACGGTTCCCACTTCGGCCTATCGCCATTCGAAATCGAGATACGCCGTCGTCTTTGGTGGCAGGTCTGCATCCTCGACGCCCGAGCCAGCGAAGATCACGGCTGCGATCCCACCATTGTCGAAGCATCATTCGACACACAAATTCCATTGAACGTGAATGACAGTGACCTTTATCCATCCATGACCGAATTTCCGAAGGAGCGTACCGGATGTACCGAAATGACTTTCTGCTTGGTTAGGTTCGAGGTTGCCAACGTCTACAGACGCATCCAATACGTGCCACCGGGCCCCGTAAGGTGCAATCGCTTCCTTTCATCAGTCCCTCTGGAGCAGAAGGAGCGCTGGATCACCGAGGTTCACTCAAAGATTGAAGAAAAGTACTTGCGGGATTGTGACATGACTGTTCCGCTCTACTGGGTCATCGCGACAGTATCTCGTCTCATCATGTCCAAAATGTGGCTCATGATATATCACCCATACCAGCGCCTTGACGGCGGCGCCTCCCTTCCACAAGAGACGAAAGATAAGCTGTTCGTCACGTCACTCGAGAACGTCGAGTACAGCATCCTTTTGGAAACGGAGGAGCGCACGCAGAAATGGGGGTGGCTCTTCAGAACCTATGTTCAATGGCATGCCATTGCCTTCCTGCTGTCGGAGCTCTGTCACCGGACGGAAGGAGAACTCGTCGCACGCGCTTGGCGAGCTGTAGAAGCCACGGCAGCGCGGCGCTGGAACGATCTCAGCAACGACCAGAAAAAGGGCTGCCTATGGCGCCCTCTACGCAAGCTCGTAGCACGAGCACGCGCCGCGCGAGAGGCCCAGCTTGCCAGGGAGCAAAAAGAGGTTCTTCAGGCGCAGGCAAGGGCTCGGCAGAGTTTTCCGGATATGTCGGGGCAGGCACTCGGCCTGGACATGTTGCCGCAAATAACCGCTGCTCAACAGCAGCCTCAAGGCCTTGGCGCATCGCTTTTCGACGGCAGTTTCGACTTCACTTCTGGCACGTCTCAGCCGCTTGGTATGGATTTCACTACTGCTGCGGCATCTCCTCAAGTCTTCATGACACCAAGCGGACCGCGATCACTGCAAACGCAGATCCCGGGTGGAGATCTAGTCTCGCCAACCAGTCAATTTCTCGCTGAGACTCGAACACCACCACAGTTACACAACTCTCCTCAATCACAAGTTCACGAATCGATGACCTCTCTTGACTGGCTCCTAAAATCCTCACCCGAACCTATGGATGGGACTGACAGCATCCCAGGCCTCAGTAACGGCAACAGCGGCAACACTTCGTCAAATACAATATCCAGCGCAGGCACTGGGCCAAGTAGCACGCCCAACGGAGTCCACCACTTTGGTAGCATCAGCACGTCAATTGCACCTAACGGAACAACGCCGGCCCGCAGTGACAGCGCCACCACTTTATCTCCTGGCGTAGGTGATCCCGATGGCATGAATTGGGCCAGCTGGGATGACCTAGTCGCACAATATGGCATGGATGTCGACCCCGCACAAGAGCTCCAAGGAGACCGTCGTGACATGGACCAGATGTTCGTTCCCGTAAGAGGGTTTGAGACGTGGTACTGAGCCTTTTCCTATCACGGCTGAAGAATGTCGAAACGCTGTTCAGGGATGCCCTGGTTTCAGTGAGCCACAGCCTTCGGATCGTCTAGTTGCACACTAACATCCATCCTCCCCAATCCAAAGAGCCCTTGGGGAGGCCTGATTCTTGATCTTTCTCCATCTGGTATTTTTGTTCCGTGACACGCCACGTCACCGTCTATACCCACTTTCTCTGTGCATCCTTGTAACCTCCTCTCGAGGCGCATGGGTCTGTCACTTCCGGCTCGCGGCTGCATTTTGTGCCTCTTGGTTTCCTGGATGAGCACGCCTCCCTCCATTTTGGCGTCACACTTCACATGCATTTGTATCAGTATCTTCCTGCATTTTTGAAAAACACCCCACTTTTCACGAAGAATGGACGCGGTTGTTTGCTCGGCGTATGTTTACAAAGGACTCTTCTCTTCTCCCTGACAAGGAGTAAAAAGAGGATAGGGAAAATCAAATATGACCTAATGCATCTTGAAAAATTAATTCTAATTGAATAGTTGCACTTCATGGTGATGTTCCGGACCTTGTCATACCATCTCTCCTTTTAGGACTCCATTTTGCGTTAGTTTAAGTCAAGCCCTCCCTACTTTATATATACATACACGTATTATAAAGCATATCCGTCGCCATATTAAGGCCGTAATTCTTGTTGAGAGCTAAGACAGCACCGTCCTTTGTTTCGCGACGCGGAGAATTACGCGCGCTCGCGTGCGCTCTTTTTTCGATAGCGAGCGAGCAGGTAAATCATTCGTGCACGTCCACCCATACAATCAGGCCTCGACGATCCGGCAAATGCAGAGGGAGTTTCCCGTCTTACGTGCGTGCATTTGCGCTCGCACCACCCGGCCCGGGTGTTCTTTGCTGGTTGGACTGTGCTTCTTCCCGCTGCACGACCCCCTCCGGCGTTTCCCACATGTGCAAGTGATAGATGAAAAAGATGCCATTTTCTTTAATCTAAAACAGACAGTCATTCACTATATATGAATTATTGCATCTACAGAGAGGTGTCGCAGCTTAACGCGAGCGCGAATTTGTTTTTCGCTCATGTCACGGGCAGTCGAAGCTATCGTCCGGATGTAAATGTAGATTAATAGTTGTACATTAATGTCAGGATGATAGCTCCAATCGCCCATTTTGTTTTACTTTTTTTTTTAAAAAAAAACAAAACAAGCTAAGGCACATTTATCCTAGATCCGAGGATCCTGTTATTCTTCGGGGGAACCTTGGGCTGCAACACCCCTCTGTATGTTCGGGGAAATGGTAGGAGAGTCTTGAGTATGGTGAATTAGCGCCGACTGAACGTGACCCTTCTCCGATAGCTCTTCTTCTAGTCCGCAGAAGTGGCCGTTGATGGGCCACTACTTCACATGCTCCTTCCACTACAGGCCTTTGAATCGCCTTGTACTAGAAATCAACCACACGAACAGAGAAGTGGAAAGGGGGTATGAGAAAGGTCAAAGCAACAGAGCGAGCAAGTGCCGCGCGCTACGGAGTTACTTGGGCCTTCCTAAAGATACACAAACGAAAGCGAAGAGCGGCGGTTGCCGAGGCCGCTGGACCGTTCCCGAGCCTATACTATCGTATCGCGCCATATAATGTTTAGCCTCTACTCTCCTTATCAATTATTTTCCTTGAATTTGGAGGCGGAAAGGAGCCGCGAAGGAAAGACCCGTAATAACCAAGAAAGGACCGATCATTCCCAAATGGGGATGACAATGACACTGTTTCAGTGCCGCGAACAAGCTCTTATGGTTTGGTTCATTTATACTTCCCTCTGTTTTAATAGGAAATGCGAAAAGAAAGGAGCAACTCAGTACGGCCACAAGACCACGTAGCAGTGTGCAATGCAACCGGGGAAAAAGCAGGAGAAAGCCTACCAAGCCATGGGCCACAACACCCGTCATGTCCTGCATCACTCGAACCACCGCGCTCCTCAGCTCGACAAAAGAGGAAAGGAGGAAGAGGATAATTGAAAAGGGGGCGAGGGTGTTCCTCGCGCCACCGCCGGCCGCCCCGCCATACGCGCCCTGGCATGAGGTCGGAGCTTGCGCTAGCAAGCGCAGTGGCTGAGGCGGTCGGTGGGACAACCCGTAGCGTGGTGCCGGACGTTTGGAAACAAATGCCGTGGAGAGCGTTGGCTTGGATTTTAAAGTTCGAAGGATGGCGGTTGGTGGCTGGGCTCGAATTGGTATAGTGGCGTTCAGGGGTGAAACCCCAGTTACACCATTGTGGCAAATGACGACGGCGAAGTGCTTGGGTAGGATGAGTGCGATTGAGCAGCGCAGGTTTAGGCAGCTTGTAGGGGAGGTGTTATGTGCATTGGTGGACTTAGCAAATGGACATCATCACGAGCAACGCAGACGGTGGAGACCAAGAGATTTGGTAGCAAAGGAACATCATGATGCTTTACGTTTACGTTAACGCTTGACCAGTATCTATGAAACAAAAAGGTCTGGAGGTATCAACAAGAAGAAGAAAAAAGAGATCTGGTATAGTTCAGGAGGTAGTTGTGAAAGTCTCCCTCAGTGATACAAGAGACGAAGTGTAAGTATAAAGGGTTTTCTCTGATCAAGCTCTTTGATTCCCTTTGCCAGCTGCCACAGCATCACATCAAGCCACCCTTAGACATTACCAATATCTTGGTTTTGAAACAGCAAAGAACGCCCACAACCCCATTCGCTAGTGCATCAGAATGCGCTTAGAGAGCGAAGAAAGCAGCACCCATGGCGACGGCAGCGCCGAAGACGCCGCTGGCCTTGAGAGCACCGGCAGCACCGGTGTAGAGAGGGTGGCCGGGGGTGGTGGAAGCAGGGGTGCCAACAGCGCCGGTGGTGGAGGAGCCGAGAGCGGGCTTGGTGTAGGAGACGGTGGTGTTGGAGATGGGGCCGTAGGGCGGGTTGGGCGAGTTGCCGGAGAAGCCGCCCTGGACGGAGGAGGTGGTGGGAACAGGAGCAGAGCTGGAGGCAGAGCAGGCCTTGCACTCAGTGACAACCGAGGTGTAGACGGGCTTGGTGACAGTGCAGCCGCCGGGGCAGTCGGTGATGGTCAGAGTGGTGGGCTTAGTCACGGTGTAGCTAATACGCTTGTTAGAAAGGTTTTCCTGGCGGACTGGGGTCAGAGGATAACTCACGTCTTGCCGTTGTGGGTCAGCTCAGTCGCGACGGGGCAGAAGGTGGTGTAAGCCGTGACGATCTCAGTGACGTAGGAAGCGTTGCCAGAGGCAGTAGGGGTGACGACAGAGGTAGCGGCGGAGGAGGCAGCAGCAGACTCAGCCTTGACCGGAGCCGAGGAAGAGGCAGCAGCCGAGGAGGTCTCGGCCTTCTTGGTGTTGGAGATACCGAACTGAGTGGTGTCTGTAGATTGTTAGTATTTGGATGAGCATTTTCGGAAGTGAAGCGACTTACATTGGTAGGCACCGTTGGCATCGATGACGAGCTTGATACCGTAGCCGGTGTCGCCGTTGGAGTCCTCAAGGTCGGTGCTGGGGTACCACTCGTACGAGCCGTCGTTCTCAGTGCCGGCGACAATGGTCTGGATGGGAACGGCGTTGGTGGAGGGACCCTTCAGCAGGATGAGGGTGACGGTGCCGCCCGCGTAGGGAGTGTCGGCATCCCACTTGATGTCGTAGCGCTCGCCGGCGGGAACGATCTAAGCGCGATGGTCAGCTGGGGGCTCGATCTCAACCGTCGTTCCTTCGCGCCGGAACGCAAACACCATGACACCAAACAAAAATAGAAGAGCACATACATCACCAAGACCGGGCAGGCGGACAGCGTTGGCAGTGGGGCCATCGTCGGCGCGGACGAGGGCAGCAAGGCCAGCGGTGAAGAGGGCGAAGAGGGAGAAGTCGTTGGAGGCAACCATTTTGACGGAAGGCAACGGTGTTTTTTGGGTTGTTTGGTGGTTGGAAAGGAGTGTGTGGTTAGTGAGTAGTGAAAAAAGAGTGACTGGCTACAGCGGAGTGATTGCTGTGCGTTGGTGGTGAGTGCAAAGGAGCGGCTGAAGCTGTCGAGAGCTGCCGGGGCTTGACGGGACTTTTAAGAGGCTTCTCGTCGGGGAAGGATTCACGACAACGGACGAGCAAGTAGAAAATAGAAGTGCGCTTGCGGCAGGCTAGACTCGTCACGGCGCTGGGAATACGAAGCTAAGGCGACAAGGGAGGCAGAGTCGCAGCGGAGGGCATCATCCGTGCCCTCGGCGTGGTGATAATTGGTGGATGGAGCGCGTGTACCTGACAGGGCGCCACATGCGGCGCTGCTCCTTCAGCCTTCAGGCGGGGACGTGACCGCGGCGCACCCAATGGCGCTGCGTGCGCGCGGGTGTCGCGAGCCTGCGAGCTTCGCCCAGCAGCGGGAAATGAGATGATCCGGATAGAGCCGGCGGCCGGTTTCCCAATCTTACCAATGGTGCCGCGGCGGCATAGCGGAGATTGACGGCGGGGCTGGCGTGCTCTCGCGAAGCCGCAGGCGTTGAGTGGAACGCCAGCGCTTACTCGTTCGCCAGTCGCGACTGACGTGGACGAGTCGCAGCGCAATACAGGCGTCGCCGTGGTGGTGCGAGGGGCTGCTGCGCGCTGGCGCTCTGGACCGGGCCATGGGCTGGAGGCTGAATATTGGGGATGCGTCTCAGGCTGCTCGTATGCAGGAACAGGAAGTGGCAGCGGCAGGGGTGACATCAGCCTGCGAAGCGCGTGCATAGGGCCGTTTCTCCAGCCTTGGCAGGCACCGGCCAGGCTGCAACCTTCCAGCGCCTATCCCGACTGCCGTCGGCAACTTCGCCACAGAACCTCATGCCAGAGCACCGCCTGCGTCCCCCGCGTGCCACACGCCTCCGCCTGTTTCTCCTGCGCACGCATTCCGCAACGCCCCTCGCGGGGTCGCGGCGGCGCAGCAGAGTCGGAGATCAAACGGGCTTCATCTCGTCCGATACGCCCAAGGACCGGGCTCCCGACTGCGGCAAGCGGCCATTGTCCCGTGCCTCAGTCCCGCGCCGCACAGCTCTGAAGCCTTGGCGTCGGAGCCGGTGCGCCGCGCGCGACGGTGCCTGCTGCACGCGAGCTCATGTCGCTCGCTATGTCGCTTGTCTCGATGCGCCGCTGCTACGTCGATTGCTGTGCGGAGAAACAGCAGAAACGCCGCAGGGTTCGTTGATCAACTTTATCCGCAGGGCAGAATGACTCGCAGCCCGCGACCGCGGTTCCTTGTCTTGTGTAGAGTGCGCATGGGGGTGTCGCAACGTCCATGCACACCGTTCTGCCACCGCGCATATACGATATGCTCTATTGTATGGTATTAGCATCACGGCTAAGACGGAGATTTGCGCCTGACGGCGTTGCCGAGTCGTCGTTCGGCAATGCGAGATTTCGGCTTCTGCGTGAAGTAGGAACCCCTATTTACTACGCGCGCAAATACGGGCCGGCGGCAGCAACAGCATCCTTAAGTGGAGGCATGCCGCTAGCCGTCCGCTGCTTGACACTCACTCGATGCTCGGCAGAGAACAAGTCGGCCGACGTGAAACCTCATGCTTTGTGCTGATCCCCTTGGTGCGCGGACCTGACGACGGCTTCTGGTAAGGCTGTAGTCCGGCTAAGGGAATAGCGGCCAGCAAGAGCGTTGATCGCACCGTCGATTATGATATCGGCGGCGCGCGCTCCTCGGCGCCCAAGTGATCGGCTCTTGCACGGCCGTGTTTCCTGGAATAGCCTGCCTGCAATGCAAACCCAGCCTTATTGACAGGCGGTGTGACTCGAGCGGCCCCCGCCTCCGCTGACGCTGGGGGAGCTCGGCTATTGGCTTGAGTAAAAGTGTCTTACCGTAGTCATGAGCCCAAGAAACTCGTGCTCGTGTTTGGAAATTGGAAAAGGTAAAACACCAACGACTCGGCCAATTGCACTCGTAAAGAGTCAAGTCATTCCGACATAAACCCTGTGCTATCGCACCCTAAGCTCGCTCTCAGTTTATAACCTCACAGCCAAGAATCCCACCGCAATCAAAAGCGAAATAATACAGGTGACAGCCAAAAACTCCACGTGATCGCATGTCGAAACAAGTCTTTCTGTTGAACATACCCATCTCAACGCTGATCGAATACACATGTTTCGTGCTGCATAATGCCATACTCATCATCGGACGTTCCGAAAGTGCTACGGTGTGGTAGATCATACTCCGCTGAAACAAGGAAGCGAAGAAAAGAAAGAAGCCGCGTAAAATGAAAACAATGCCTGGAGGAAACAGGAAGCCGCCCGTGAATCATGCCCGACCCCGGAAAAGACAATGCACCATAACACCGTATTACATCAGCCCTATCCCCGTTGCCCTGCCTTTTTGTCTTCCATCTTTGCCTACACGCACACTCTCCGGTTTTTCCATCGCCCGCTCAGGATCCAGGGGTTCCGTTTGCCGCCTCAGCAATTCCGTTCAGAGCGCCAGAGAAGGAACCGCCAGAGTCCCTCGAGGGCGTCTCCATGCCTCCCATCCCACTCCCCATACTGGCATTCATGCCACCACTCATGCCCATGTTAGGGGTTGAGCTGCCTGCCATGCCACCGCCCGTCATGCTATGAGTGGGGTGCGTGTGCGCCGCTGCAGAAGCTGAGTGGTGTGCGCCATGGGTTGCAAGACGCGCCGTCTCGTCCTCCTCACCCATACCGTCCACGTCTGGCCAGAATCGCTCCTCGAGCCAGCAGACATGCTCGAACAGCTGCTCGCAGCGCAACATCTCTTCTTTGCCATTGGGCGACGTGGTCGTGTTGGCTAGCTCGTCTACCAAGCTGCGGCACGCATCTACAAACTTGGAGAATGGGGCAGAAGTCCAGTTGGGGATTAGCTGCTGGTGGAGCGCAACGATGTGCGGCTCGTTCGAGGGTGTGGATAGTGTGGGCGTGAAAGACGAGGCGTAGCTCCACGCGGTGCGGTAGCACTAGGGACAAAATGTAAGCATCCGGTTTGCATGAGGGCGAAGATGAAGGTAACGTACGTGCTCCGTAGCCCACAGCACCACCATACCCTCGAGCAAGCTAGCTCCGCTGCTGGTGCTGCTCAGGAACAAGTCAAGGTACGCGCGAGTGATGCGATTCGGCGGCTCATCCGTCATTTGGAGACCGAACTTGGTCGCGGTGATTTCAAAGAAGGTCATCTCACGGCGAATATTGTTGAGAGCACTGATCAGGAGATCCATCACACGGTACGTTTGGTGAAACTGACTGTTCGGCACCACAGGTAGTCGAAGCTTGGCCAGCATATTGCCAATGAACCTGATGTAGCCACGCGCATAATGTGCATCTTGCACCAACCATTGTGTTAGGGCGGGCGCCGAGAGAGTGCCGCAGCCCGCATGCGACAGGAAAGGCTGCTGCGTCGCCGCAGTGAAGGGTGCTTGAAAGCGGTTGAGAAGGTGTGCTACGAGGGACGGGCTCTGCTGCGGAGGCGGGCCCGGGTGTGGAGCTATGGGTTGGCCTTCACGGGTGCGCTTGTTCGTGTTTGGCCCACGGCGATGAACTTGGAGGTTAGGGTTGGGGTGAGTGCCGTTGAGAATCCCACGGTTTGGCGTGCCGTCCGGCTGCGTCATGTTCGGGTCGATATTGGTGGTTGTGCCCTGCTGGAGGTGCATGGTAGCGTCGGGCGAATTGAGGTAGGCCTGACAAGACTGCAGATGCTCAATCTGGCGCGTGGTGTTTTTCGCACGCGTGAAGCCGCAGTGCAAGCATCGCACTTTGGCGCACTGTAGTCACTTAGTCAGTATTGGAAGATGGTAGAAAAAAAAAAACGCGACGTTCGCGAGACACGGTCCCGCGTCGCAGCAACAATAACGCCATGACGCATGCGTTCCAAAGACTTGAGCCGCGTCCGAAGCGCCAAAGTTGCTTGCTGAAGCGTGCTGCGCGGCCGCGCGCGACCACGGCGTCGCGACTTCATGGATCGGGCGCTCGTCGCAAGACGGATAGAGGAGGCGCAACGCACTTTTGACGGGGTGGACTCGTCAGTGTATTCCTGGAACGCACGACGGATATCGGGATTTGCATGCTAGGAGGTCAGCGACGTTGCAATATGGGCGCTGAGGGTGATGTAGGGCGGCTCTTACTCGTCCCATGGCTGTAATCCTTACCCGTTACGATACACGGCGGAGAAGGAGTGTATCTTTCGAGTGGGAAGATTTGAGGGGAAGTCAGCCTGGGCGCGCTAATGAGTAAGTAAAGACGAGGCCGCCACTGGTGGGCGCACGGCCATCGCTACTATCAGCTTCGAAGACAGCGCCTTCTCTCTCCACAGCGATGCACATTGTCTATCGGGCCTTGGCGACTCTGAAAATCCGACCGCAGATACTGCTTTCAAGGAAGTAGCTACCAGTGAGTTTTTATGGAGTGTACCCAGCGGTGTATCCCCGTGCAGGGCTCGCAAAAAGCCAGCACGGCCATGAACCGTCGCCGTCTCAAGCGTCAAGACGCCGGTAAGCGGCCACCTCCATTCGGCTGACTCATCGTTCCAGCTCGGCTGGGTCGCCCTATGCCCCTTCGAGCGTCAGCAGACCGGACGAGTCCGGAACTGAGAGAACCGTTTCATCCGACGCTCAGTCGGCGTCAAGAACCCGATGTTAGACATAGCTCCAACCAGCGCTTATGTAGGAATGTAAAGGCACATCCCCCCAGGCGCCAAGAATGGATCATCGTCCGGGTATTTCTAGCAGTCGACAGCAACACCAGGTGTGCTTCGCCATCGTTATTGTAGAGCGGTGCTGCCTCAGAGAAGAGCTTGGTACGTCGACTTTCCGCGGCACAGGCAGCAACACCTGCCGTCGTCCGACCCAAGGTTACTGTAACTTCACTAGTCAGCTTTGACAATGCTCCGATGCACGTCATCACAGAAAGCAAAGTAAGCAGCGCCATGTCGTAAGAATGTTGTTCGGGTTTCTTTCATTTTTGAGCCTCTGAAATAAATAATACATGGTTTACAAGAAGTTCTGTTGCAGTCAGCGTCGTGTTACCCACCCTCCGACCTTGTAACATGTACACTCGAGGCCCATCGTGCGGCGAACTCGAACACCGCCGCATCATGCAAAAAAACAAGAGTGGAAATTCTCGTCGTTTTCCAAGCCTAGATCCAGGAATTACGCCCATTTTTGTGCTACTCTGCTAGAGCCTCGTACTTACTGTTCTTTCATTCCGACTTGGCGTTGAAGAAGCCGAAAAGGCCGCTCTTCATGCTCTTCATTGTTTCTTCTTGCGCCTTCTTCTCTTCCTCCGCCATCTCCTTAAGCCACTTCTCACCGTTCTCGCGGATTTCCTTCTCCATGATCTCGTATTGCTTGAGGCCTTGCTCGCGAATCTGGTCCGAAAGCATCTTGCCCTTGGCGAACCCTTCGGCTGCGCTCTCCCTGCCAATTACAAGGCCACCCTGAGGAGCTGTTGGCTTCATGCCCAGCGCACCCGCCAATGCGCCCATGCCGCTGCGCCTGGGCTTACGCGACTGCTCCTCCTCCAGCTGCTTGTGGAAATTCTCACGAGCCTTCTGCTCACGAATCGCAAATTCGGCGGCAATATCCTTGCCCTCAAAGGACTTGAGGGCCGTCCGTACATCAGTGATGCCCATCGTCGCAACGTACTCGAGGAAGGGGACGAGGGAGACAAGACCCCTATCGGTCTTCTCACCCTTCCATGGAGGAAGGACGATCGCGTTCTCAGGCTGATTTTTGACGTGCTCTGCCTTGGTATCGATAATGATAGTTTTACTCAAGTCACGGTTGAGGTAGGACAGGTCCTAAAAAATCTGTTAGAGACGAGGCGTGTGTCGGGTAGCAACCATGGTAACTTGCCTTGACGTACTGACCCTTCTCATACCGCGTGGCTTCTCTGAACAAAGGCCACATGACGATACGGAAAGGGTCCAATTTCCTGATGATGGGGTCGGCCGAATTTAGGGGTAAGCTGGTGAAAATGACAAGCTCGTAGTATTGACACAGATAGCGCAGGAAGAAATCGACGCCAGGCCTCTTCGCAAACCGCCAACCGTGTTCGCGCGTCCACTCGCTGTGTACAAGCAGATCCTCCAAGCTCAATACCAGAGTGTACGGCGGCGCGGGATCGACATCCGGGAGCAGCTTGGGGAAGACAGGTTCGGTGTAGTAGCCCAGGGCTCCAGAAAGCCTGGCCCTCGCACGTGCGTAGACCGCTGATGGGGACCAGCCGGAAGGAATATCGGGGTGCTGTTTTGCCTCCTGCTCGGAGTCCCATTCACGGCCAAGGTATAAGCCGCTAGTCACCAGCATAACGCCACCCATAACCATTGTTATGTTCGCGTACAAGTTTCTCTTTCTGTCCGTAGATGTCTCGTACGCGGATTTCGGAAGCTCACCGCCCTCACGATCACCATAGCCGCCGCCGGATGCTTCATCCTGGGTTTTCTCATATTGAGGGTCTTCAGTGACATTGGGCTTTGGCTCGGGAGCGTCCTCCTTGGACGACGGGGTGGACTTGAGGAACTCCTCGGCAAATGTGGAAGGAATGCCGTGCCTCAAGTCGGGCAGAGGCTTTTGCGCCTGAGGGGCATCGCCGGGAGCGGTGTTGGCCTCGGTTGATTGAGGGCTTTCGAATTCAGGCTGGGATCTGGAGAAGTCGGCAGATTCGGAGGGCTGCTCTGCGGCGGACTTGGGCTTGCCCGGTGCCGGCGGTGATTGCGGGGCGGTATTCTTGTCTGGCGAGGCGGCAGGGTTGAACTCGGCCGTTTCCTGCGAGGATTCAGGTACGGGGCGCGGTTTCGGGCGGACCACGTTGGGACTGGATTCGTAAGGGTTCGACTTCTTGGTGGCGCGATGCTTGACGTCTTTCGCGTAGGTGCGCACGTAGGCGGCGGCGGGCGCTCTAGGAAGCGGCGCTAGCAGCGGACGAGCCGCAGCAAGACGGACAGCTGCGCGCGAGAGCATGGCCGGGGGAGCTGGACGGGTAGGAGAAGAGGCGCACCCTGCGACGAATTGGCGAGGCTGGAGTGGTGTAGAAGCGCGGGCTAGGTATGATGATGCAGCCGCCGCCAGAATTTCCGCGCACCGGCCTTGGCGGCTGGCGCACTGACTCGCTGACAGGCCTGCGAGCTCATCACTCGTGCATCTAAGCTCCAGCTGTCCTATTCTCCCCACACTGCCCCTCTGCGTGAGTTTGGAGATTCTTGCCGTCTCTCCAACCGCCCTGCTCCTCCCATGCCGTCCTTGGGGGCCGTCCAGAGGGAATGCTGTCGACTTGGCTGGCGCTGATCGGGGCCGCTCCTACGCCATTCAGCCGCTCCGCTGCCCTCACACGATGCCTTCTGCTGTGGCTCTTGGGCACCGCGCTTCTCGCGCACTGCATGACCGATGAAGCCATCGCAACCTTGAAGTAGTCAGCCCTCCCCGCGCCGCTCCGATCAGCCCCACTTACGATAATTGTAGACGGGAGACCGCAGACATATTCTACCATGGCTACGACAATTACATGAAACATGCCTTCCCTGAGGACGAGCTGCGGCCGTTGACGTGCTCTGCCTTGACCCGAGACCGTGCCAACCCTTCTCACATCGAAGTGAACGACGTGCTCGGCAATTATTCCTTGACTTTGATCGACAGCTTGTCCACGCTCGCCATCTTGGCATCTTCTCCGCCTGACAAACATGCCCACCGGAACCCGCTGGAAGACTTCCAGAACGGCGTGAAGCTTTTCGTCGAATACTACGGCGATGGCACTGATGGGCCCGCCGGACAAGGGAAAAGAGCACGAGGGTTCGACTTGGACAGCAAAGTGCAGTTGTTTGAGACGGTCATCAGAGGGCTGGGCGGCTTGCTCAGCACTCATCTTTTCGCAATCGGCGAATTGCCGATTCGTGGATACGATCCTATCTTCACCGACACCGAGGATGGCCGACGAGGCATCGAGTGGCCTGGTGGCTTTGTCTATGATGGCCAGTTCCTGCGTCTAGCCCACGACCTGGGCAAGAGGTTGCTCCCGGCTTTCCACACTCCAACTGGCATACCTTATCCTCGCGTCAACCTTCGTTTCGGCATACCATTTTACGCCAACTCGCCTCTGAACAATGACTCCGAACACGGTCAATGCCAGACGAATCCAAACGCACCTCCTGAAATAACGGAGACCTGCAGTGCGGGTGCCGGTAGTCTCGTGCTTGAATTCTCCACCCTGAGCAGGTTGACCGGAGATATGGTGTTTGAGAAAGTTGCGAAGCGGGCATTCTGGGAGATTTGGGCCCGACGGAGCAGTACTGGCCTCATTGGCTCCGGAATCGATGCTGAGACAGGACAATGGGTCAGCCCATACACTGGCGTGAGTTTCTACCTTTCCTTCTGGAAATATGCGAATATTGAAGGCAGCAGATTGGAGCAGGAATCGATAGCTTTTTCGAATACGCGCTCAAGTCGCACATTCTCCTCTCAGGCCTGCCGTACGATTTGGAGAATGAGCGTGCAGACTCGCCCGAAGCCTTCCTCCATGTATGGCAAGATGCACATGCGGGAATAAGCAGACATATCTACCGTGGTCCGATGCACCAGCACCCGCACTACATTCAAGTAGATCTCTATACCGGTGCCATGCGGGCTTTCTGGATCGACAGTCTCAGCGCCTATTACCCTGGACTACTAACCATGGCCGGTGAGCTGGACGAAGCAATCGAAACGCACCTTCTGTATACGGCGCTATGGACACGCTATTCGGCTCTTCCCGAGAGATGGTCGACCGCAACTGGTAACATCGAGATGGGACTGCGATGGTGGGGTGGACGCCCTGAATTCATCGAGTCGACCTGGTATTTGTATCGTGCGACTAAAGATCCGTGGTACTTGCATGTTGGAGAAATGACTTTGAGGGACATCAAGCGTAGATGTTGGACCAAGTGTGGCTGGGCGGGCTTACAGGATGTGAGGACTGGAGAGAAGAGCGATCGCATGGAGAGCTTCTTCCTCGGCGAGACTGCCAAGTACCTCTTCCTTCTCTTCGACTTCGACCATCCTTTGAACCATCTGGGAAGTCCGTGGGTGTTCACGACCGAAGGCCATCCCCTCGTCATACCTGAGCGACTCCGCCAAGACGACAACTTCCTTGTTGCACGCAGCAAGACGATCAGACAACTTCCGGATTACGTCAATGACGCCACTTGCCCTATTCCCCCAGCCCATGTTCCATTCACCATTTCCACGACGGCAGCCCGGGAGGATGTTTTCCATGCAGCAAGCCTGGCCAGATTGCACTTGATGCCGAATAGGGACACTTTGGAGTCACCGCTTGTTGAATTCAATGCAGATCATCCCAGCATCTCCATGTCGGACGTCCGATCGCCATCAAACTTCACCTACTACCCGTGGACCCTTCCTCCGGAGCTGATACCGTACAATGGCACTAGCTCCAAGATGGTAGCGCGGGCGACGTTTGACCTCTCGTTCCCGAACCTGCCCAGCAGCCTGAACAACGCAGCTTCCCTTCAGCGCATCGGCGGTGGCATTCTGGTGAACTCGATGAGCGGTCTTCGGCTCGGCATGGTACGTGAATCTGAAGGCAGTTTGTCAAAGGAAGAGCCGAGCAGCGATCTGTTTAGGATCTACGCCGTTTCCAATGTGGCGCTAGGAAGAGACGAGAAAGTCTTCATGTCACGCGATGCGGTATCAAGTTTCAACCCCGCAGATCCGTACTTCACGAGAACGCGGGACCTCACAGCACTCGATGTCTTCGTCGATGCCCTCGAACCTCCTCCCGCTGCGGTTGCCAAAGGAGCATCTCTCGATGACCCAGACTCTCATGCTGCAAGCACGCTTGACGACATTCTCGAAGCTGCTCTAGCCAACGACACTCTGTCGCTTATTACGCTGCCGGATTCTCTGGAAATGGACAAGATGAACCCATCTCTCATAAGCTCCCTTCTCCAAAACATCCAAAACATCCTGACAGAGACGCTTCCATTTGACTCGCTCGCAAACCCCTCCCCAAACCCGTCAACACGGGCTTTCGGTGACGGGAAACACCAGGTCCGGCGCGTTCAGTTATCGGCGGCGTTGTCAACGGGACCTGGAGCTGCGCCGCCGCCTCACAGCCGGAGTAGCGACGAAGGCAAGTTCGAGGCCGATGAGGGCTTGCCTTGGAACAAAGTCTACGTGGGCGATGAGAATTGCGACTCGCGGCTTCCGGCAAGCGTTCCGCGCGAACACCAGGTCGTGGTGCTGATGCGTGGCGGATGCAGCTTCTCGCAGAAGCTCGCCAACATTCCGGCGTACGCACCTTCGCAGTCATCGCTCAAGCTGGTCATCATTGTGTCGTTCCCAGACCTAGAAGATGACAGCACGGATCTCGTGCAGCCGTTGCTAGAGGAGGAGCAGAAGCTCGCTGGCGGCATCCCTCGGCCGCATCCGATCCCGTTGATCATGCTTGGGGGTGGAGACGAGACGATGAGGCTGTTTGAGAGAGCAGTGGGGGTAGGCATTAGGAGGAGATGGTGGTACGAAAGCCAGGGGCTAAGAATTGGCAATTTGATAGTTGTATGATAGAAGGTTGGAGCTTTTCCTGTATATTTCCTTGTTTGCGGGTGAAGTTGGCTAGAGATATATCCCTGCTTGAATGGTATTATGTCTTTGTTGCCGCGCTAATTGTATCAAAGAGGAACAGATGCTGTCTCAAGGAGCCTACTTTCAATAAAGTATTCACTAAGAGTAAAACATAGCGAAAAGAAAAGGCTCCATGCAAGTTGCACTTCGGTATGTCATGCGACAGGAAAAACGAAAGTCACTGTGAAAGTGTATCATGGCAGGATGACCCTTGCGGAGCGAAGAGGCGGGTGGGCAATGCTCATCACCTGCGGTGAGGTGCCGGGGCAGCGTCGGAAGGACCGGCCCCAAGCCGGCGGATTGGTGAAGCGAGGTCTGCGGGAAGTGGACGTGCGCGGGCCGGTGGAGGGCAATGATTGAATCCCGAGGCTGCTCCTCAGGGCAAAAGGTGGAGAGCTCGCGCATGCTTTGACCAGGGCCGTGGCCGATCACCACAATGTCGAGCGCACTATTGCTTCCGCTCAATGATTAATCTCGGCAGTTGCTCAAGAAGGCAGCCGGTGTTGCCAACCCTCAGCCGTCCCTGACGTTATAAGGGATCGCGCCTGCCCGCAGAATTCAGCTCGCCGCGCAGAATCGGGCAATTGTGTCACACAACGCAAAACATAGCTCAGCTCAGCTCTTCGTACGTAGTACCCTCCACGTGAGCTTGCCCGGACCTCCCTCTATAAATTGCATGCATTGAGCTGACACTACTCGTCCAGCAGCTACCCCGCCCCCACCATGTCGTCCTTCACCATCCCTCTCCTCATCAATGGCAAGGAGACCACCACCTCCAACACCTTCGCCGTGCACTCGCCCGGCGCACACAAGGATCTCTGGTCCTGCAGCTCTGCCTCGGCCAGCGATGCTGACGCCGCCCTCCAAGCCGCCAAGGCCGCTTTCCCTGCGTGGTCCAAGACCAAGCCCGTCGCTCGCCGCAACATCCTGCTGAAGGCTGCAGACCTGCTGGAGCAGCATGGAGAAGAGTTTAAGGAGCACATGTCACAGGAGACGGGCGCTGTAGCCATGTTCACCGGCTTCAACGTCATGATCGCTGCCGAGCTCATTAGGGACGTCGCCGGCAGGATCGGTGCCATCATGGGCGCCATTCCCCAGACTCAGGACGACGACACCACCGCTCTGGTGCTCAAGGAACCCTTTGGTGTGGTTCTGGGCATTGCGCCATGGTACGTAACATTTTGCGTCCCGGGAGGAGCATTGCGGCACAGCAGCTTGAATTGAGGCTAAATCGATGCTCTGCAGGAACGCCCCATACATTCTCGGTGTCCGTTCCGTCCTCTACGCCATTGCTGCCGGAAATGCCACGGTCCTCAAGGGCTCCGAGCTTAGCCCTCGCTGCTACTACAACATCGGCCGCATCTTCACCGAGGCAGGACTGCCGGCTGGCGTCCTGAATGTCTTGTATACCACTCGCGACGACTCTCCGGCCATTACCTCGCAGTTGATCAACTCGCCCGTGATCAAGAAGGTCAATTTCACTGGTAGCACTGCCATTGGCTCCATCATTGCCGCCACCGCCGGCAAGGCGCTGAAGCCGTGCCTCATGGAGCTGGGCGGCAAAGCTTCCGCCATCGTCCTTGACGACGCCGACATCGAGACGGCTGCTACGCAATGCGCCCTCGGCGCCTTCGTTCACAGCGGTCAGGTCTGCATGTCAACCGAGCGCATCCTGGTCCACAAGAGCATCATCGACAAATTCCGTCCCGCGCTGAAGGGTTTCCTCGAGCACTTTGACGCCGGTCCCGCACCCATCGTGGTCCAGGGCGCGGCGATCGAGAAGAACAGGAAACTCATCGAGGATGCCGTCACGAAGGGTGCCAAGGTTGTGCATGGAGACCACAAGAGCCAGGAGAAGCACCCCGAAACCGGTGAGATTTCCGCGACGCGGTTGCGTCCGATCGTCGTCGAGGGTGTTAAGGAAGAGATGGATATGTATCACCAGGAGAGCTTCGGTCCCAGTGTCAGCTTAATTGAAGTCGAGAGCGAGGAGGAGGCGATTAGAATCGCCAATGACACCGAATATGGTCTCACCAGCGCCGTTTTCACCAAGGACCTTGGACGCGCACTGAGGATTGCGAAGCAGATCGAGGCCGGGTAAGTTTTCTGCTGATGTCATATCCTCATTCTCCTTGCTGATAGATAATCCTGCAGAGCGGTACACATCAACAGTATGAGTATCCACGACGAGCCTACGTTGCCGCACGGCGGCTACAAGAAGAGCGGCTGGGGCCGTTTCAACGCCCACTGGGGTCTTGATGAGTTCTTGCAGACAAAGACTGTCACCTTCAAGAACTGAAGGCCACGCGAAAGGTCGTAGTGGGTCGGGTAAGTGACCAAATGTTTTATGTGCAGTGTCTATCATATGATATCCAAGAATAAATACCATCTAAACAGTTAGGCAAAAATACCCTCTTCTCATGATTTTGCCGTGCCTGTGGATTGTTGTTAGTTTCTAGTCAGTCTCTAAACATCAGATTTGTTGTCCCTTTGTCTGTTTGTGTTGTCGCCCTAGTTGCCGCACTCAGAGTTCTAAAGGCTTGTTTTTCTTCTTTTTGATGACAACGCACCAGTGGTTTGGATGAAAGACCTTCCTTTACTTTGCTCAATTGCCTGGTTCCGTTTTCTTTGACATTGTGCGGATTGACTGGACGGGACCTCGTTATCTCGAACTACACTTTCGTTGAGAGACGCAGGAAACCTCAGGCGATATCCACGCGTCACGAAGCTCTGGTGTGGTCTCTGGAAAACGCTTATTTTACTATATTTCATTAACTACATGTGTGTTTTCATAGTGTTGAGAGGTAAGTTGTCTTTTTTTCTTTTCTTTCCTTTGTGCTGTTTTCTTCGACCTCTGAACAAACGCTTACCTGCTTCAAGCTGTCGCCGGCTGGCTTTGTCCTGGAGAGTTCGACCGAGATGTTACAACTTCCCCAGCACTCATACATATGGTGCTACACCATATAATAATAAATGGAAATGAGCTTAGGTAGGACCCCCTGCTGATTTGTGCACGAAATAGACACTTCGTATGAGGTACATCGACTCCGCACCGCAGTTTTGCAGTTTCTCTCGTATGAGAGGTCTTTGTTTAATTGTTGGCCTTTCACCTTTTACGCGATCACCGACTGTCAAGCTTAACACTGTTCCGCAGACGGTCTCGAATATGCAGAGCCTCCTTCGAGGAGTTACTGAAAGCAGTCAGATTTCCTGCATTCAGCAATTGCACCAGTCGCTCGGATGCCGTAGAGCTTCAGGACCCACCCCGGTTTAACTGCATCTGGAAGTTAACAATGGCAAACCAACCCCGCATGTTCAACCCATCCCCTAAAGCCTCAGCTGGCAGCTTTTTTCCAGTAAAACTTGAAAGACTTCATTCATTGAAGCGTAGCGCGGCGGGAAGGTATATCAACGCCATCTGCTGGTATCTGTAAAACGTTAGGGGACTCTGTTTCGGCCGCAGAGGCCGAGCTTTTCCCTTAACGTGTATTTGCTCCATTCTCCAGCAATGTTTGCTAGAACATCGACTTTGCTTGGCTTCGTAGCCGTGGCGTTGCAGGCGACTTCGGTGTCGGCTCAGGCTTGCATCAATTTTGCCTTTGCTCCCGCAGGAACTTGCAACTCGGACCCCAATTCTGCCGATCGCCTTCGTGCCGACCTCGTCCAGGATCGACTTGTGCCTGGTTGCGCTAACGGTGGCCTTTACACGGTGGTGGCCAAATACAACGATCTTCAAGACAACACGCGCTGGGTCAGCGCTATTGTAAGAAGCCCTTATTTGGACCTCTTGCATTTTGCACGCTAACATGAAATAAAGGATGTTGCCACTGTTGCCGAAGACTTTACTGGAACCATTCCCTTCAGCTTCAGATTGCCCCAGAGCACAATTTCTGCCGGGCCCGTGACGCTCAGCCTTATTGGGACCAACAAGGGGGGTGCTTTCACTTCCCGTGTCACGTATACACACAGACACACGCCGACTGTCACGTACACGACTGCCACCTCAACGCTCACGGCTTGGGTCTCAAGCACCGTCAGTAAGTTTTCCTACAGCGAGTTCAATGGTGCATACCAGTGCTGACACTCGTATCCAGCGTCAACTAGCTACCGCAATGTCAACTCGTACACAACGGTTGACCCCCCGGGTGGGTTATCTACCATCACAAGGACCGGTGTCTCGACTAGTTTCCTTACCAAGCCGACTGTTACTGTCACATCCTACATGGCCGTGGATGACCGTACCATTACAGAGATCACGACACTCCGGCAAACGATCAGCTCAGCATGCGTCAGTCCGCGTCTTATGGAACGGCCTTCAGGTGCAGCTGCCACCCCAACTGGGCAGAAGCTCAGGCGTAAGGACCTCGAGAAGCTCCATCGCCGTGCACAGCCAACAACGTACGCTGTTCCTTACTGCGGTTCCACTTTCTCGACGACAATATTGCCAATTTCTACAGTGTACCTCCAGTCACGCTCGACCATGGTCGATACAGTGACGCGGGTTGCCAACAACGTCAACTGGCTCACCGTCACAGCCAACAACCCCACGACGTGGATCGACGTCACTTCGATTGTTTACCGCACGGTGAACGCCGATGCCAGAACCATCACCAGCATCTTCACGCAACCTCGTATCACGGCGACCGAGACATTCACTGACACGTTTACCACGACTGTCTACCCGCCCGGTAGTCCTGTTTGTAACGCCGAGGTCGTCACTCCCACGCTACGTGTGGAGTCGTCTCTGAGTGGCAGCAACCCTGGCTTTTCACTTCCAGCTGCCACTGCTGGCGCGTCCAACTTCTACAGCGGAAACCAGATGACTTTACCGCCCCCCGGTCAGGCTAGTCCGGGATTCCCGACGCTGGTAATCTCCGGTTCTACTGTCGTGCCAAACACGGCATCTTCTGCGTCACCTGCTGCCTCGGGGGCATCTGTGAATGGTGCTGCTTCCAGTAGCTCCGCGGCTGGTGGAGTGTCCTCATCCAGTAGTGTCTCTTCGTCCAGTGGTGCCTCCTCATCCAGTGTTGTCTCCTCCTCATCCAGTGTTGTCTCCTCCTCATCCAGTGTTGTCTCCTC